AAAGAGAGGGCGGCGGCCGGGGGAACGCGCCTTCCACTCCCGCTGCTTCGCAGCATAACTCCGTGCCGTGTTCGCCGGCTGTTCGTCCTTCTTCGCCTGAAGGCCCGCCCTCCGGGCGGCACGGGCACGCTCGTCTGCGGCCGTGTACGAGTCGTCTGCGGCCATCTCGGTCGATCAAGGCCTTTCTACGTGGTGTTTGTTTCCTGTCTGGGGCCTGATAAGTTGCGGGGAACTTATCAAATGCACTTATCAGGCGCCGCGCACACGATTTCACGGGCTGCTTTTTGCGGGGGATAAGTCGTCACGTGGTCTGAGCGAATTACGACGTAATTGCGGGCACCATCGATAAGCATTCTATCGAGCTCAGAAGCCACCCAAAAACCTTCAATTGTGTGAACAAATAATTTGCACAAATCCAACGCCTGTTGTCTTTTCCTCTGTCGATAAGCATGTCGCTATACCCGTCTAATACCCGCTCTCGGCTCTCCGCTCAGGAGCCGACACTAACCATCTCAGCCTCACAGTCCTGATTCACCGGTTCCGATTTCTCCTCAATCCACTCACCAAGCAACCATGGAACCGACGCCTCAAAAAGCCCAGCACGACAAACGTCGTCGCCAGCAGCGAAAAGCATGTGACTTATGTCGACGCCGCAAAGTCCGCTGTGATATAGTAGACCGACCATCAGGCCCTTGCTCCGTCTGTGAAAAGTCCGGGTTCGAATGCCAGTACGGCTCCGACGCGCCCCTGTGAAAAATTAGTAAGCTGATGAGGATATAGGTCTACGGCGAAATGGGCTGTTGCGAGAAGAAGTTCGGTGGTTTCCAGAAATGCATATGATCGCGATACACCTGCCAGATCACCAGGAGTATCGCAGCCGGATCCGGAGGCCGGAGCCGTTGAGCGGGATGATCATCTTTCGATCCTCGGACCCGAGGCTTCATCTGCACCATCGCGGCGTGATAAGACATCGAATGATGCATCGCGCTCGGATGGTCAAGAGAAACTCGCTCGGGAGGGATTAGCGAGGTTCTTCAAACACGGAATCGGTGCTGCAGCTTGGGCTGTTTTTGCATCGACCAAGAGCTTTCGCATCGCCTACGTCGGCACGCCTGTGTCGAACCTGGTTCATCTTGTCGACTTACATCGCTCTTTCAGACAGCCTTACTCTTCCATTCTTGGCGACCAACGACCTTTATCTGCGCCTACAGGACCTGATACTCATGGCTCGTTTCAAGAATCTGCGGATGGAAGTACCAGCAGTGATAGGATAGGCGGAAAACCATTGCATTACCCATATCCTCCTATCAGACAAGTCAAGTCTTGGAAACCTACACCAAACTCATGGGTAACGCAAGACTTGGTGACGGAGGTATCTTCCTTCCCAGCCCAAGAGGTTCGTGATGCGTTGGTACAAGCGTACTTTGATCATATCCACCCATTTCTGCCCATTGTATCAAAGCCAGAATTTCTCGCTCGATATCGCACGCCTGATAATCCTCCACCACTTCTGCTATTCCAGTCTGTTCTCATGGCTGGCGCCCACGCCTGTGCGCATCCCCTCGTCGCCACTGATCGCCATGCCGTCCAGAACAGACTCTTCAGAAGAGCTAGTATGCTATACCATATGCGACACGAGTCAGATCGAATGCATCTTCTTCAAGCAGCAGCCCTGTTCACATGGCATATAGGCGATGGCGATACAGTCGCCGGTGGGCCGTGGTACTGGGCGGGAATTGCTGTACGAATAGGTACAGGTCTTGGTGCTCATCGGAGAAGTTCTCAACTCCCAGCTACAGAGATGGCACAGTATCGACGATGTTGGTGGTCTGCCTTCTTCTGTGAAGTCTTTTCCTCATTGGAGACTGGAAGGCCTTGTGCAGTGAGAGCAGAGGACATAGATCAGCTGCCGCTTCAGCAGGAGGATATTACCGATACACCAGTCACAGATCCAACTATCGCAGAATCCGGTGTTAGCCCTGATTTTCTGAACCACCTCGTTGATCTGGCCTACATTGGCCTCGACGTCATTTCACTAAACGCACCTGCGCGAGATCGTCTCATAGATGTAGCATCAATCGACGCCCGGCTAGGCCTGTGGTCCCTCCGCTCAGGTATATCCACCGTCGCAGAAGACGACGACTCATGGACATGCCATCTCCGAATGCATTACAATCTCCTCCTTCTCCACCTCCATCGCAATCTCCACGAACAGAGCAGCCAGTCAATTTGCTCAGCAGCAGCCCAAGCAATAGTAACGTCCCTCGAAAAGCTCACGGCACGCGATGAACTACGTCAATGCCACTTTACTTCCGTTAGCGCCGTGACAGCGGCCGGTATCCAATTCGCCGGTGAGATTCGCGCAGCTGTAACTTCCCAGACCTTTTTGGTCGCCATCAATGCACTTGAGAGATTATCGAGATTGTTGAGGTCAACGATATTACTTGCCAGGCATTGGCCTAATGCAGAGGCTGTGCATAGTGTTTTTGAAGAGTTACATAGAGAATATGAAACGCTTGTTACGCAGAGATTGCAGGGCGAACAGGTTATGGTGCCGGAGAGCCCGCCTGATTGGAATAGGTTGCTTGGAGGGGAGGGATTACATCAGTTCAGCAATTTCACATCAGACCAGGATTGGATGAACATTAATAGCTGGACGGACTTATTATAGGCTCCAATACAAAATCGACCGCATTATAATTTGGCTAGTATTTGCTCTTTAATCAGCGCAATATCAACGCGCTTAAACAGTGGATCAGAAGATAGCGACACCATTTGGTGGACTAGCCACGCCTCCGGGAACCTAACATGTATCAGACCATTAGCTCAACGAATGAGCGGTAAGACGACGGAACTTACCTTGAGTGGCATACTCGAAAAGAAGAACGACCATCTCCCTCGCTTCTCACACTCTTTACTAAGAGCCTCCAGGTCGAACAACTCCCCAATTGGCATTCCCCAACCCGCCAACAGCCACTCGTGCAGAAAGTAATCTGTGTTCTGACACGGCCATGCCTCCATACTAGGTTGGTCGCCAGCAACTGCAGCAAAGTCTTGCTCCCAAAGCCATCGGAGTGTATCTTCTGAAGACTCGATACCATGTGCTGGGGGGACTTTGTAATCTGCCAATGTCTTGCACTCATCGTCGGAGAGCTTGTCATAGGCTCGGACCCATCCTGTGCGGATGAAGAGAATGTCGCCTTGTTGGAATGTGGTTCCTTGGCTTTCGGCAACTTCTTTTAGTGTTGCTACAGTAATTGACTTGGTTTCGAAGGGAGTCAAGGTGATGTTGTTCTTATCTGCCCAAGATGCATAGTCGAGTAGTACTCCGCGTCCGACAATACCACCTCGGTCAACCCAAGCTACATACATCAGCCGCGTCCACTTATAAAGAGTACAACTTACCCTGAATGCCGTTGACATCCGATGATAAAAGCTCATCAAGGCTCTTCCCATTGAACCAAAGCTTCTCCTTCTGATAAGCATAATGTCTAAACCCGTCCCACTGCGAACTACTCTGCGTGTTAAATGTCAAAGTATCATCATTTACAGCACGAGGGGTTTTGGTAGTAATCTCATGCTTGAAAGGTGCACGTCCAAAGCAAGGTCGGGACATTCGATTGAGGGGCCAATCGGTAGAAACCCGAACGCCGTCACGTATCTCTGATGCTGCTTTTGCTATGATTTTTGGGGTCAAGAGGTTTAGCATCCCGCATTCGTCATTGTCGCCGAAAAGACCCCAGGCGTTTCCAGGTGGACCATCTTTTCGCAGAGGAAGGGACTTGAAGGATGGTTTGGATGACATCGTCAATTTTTGGTAAAAGTTAGAGTAGTTGAGGAGGTTGTTGATGTTGGCGTTGGCGTTGACTTCATATCAAGACCCCGCCTTTTGAGGGGAACCGCGGTAAGAAGCCCGAGCAGGTTGTTCATTGGAATATGCTTTGTCATCAGGATAGACGAGGACGATCGTGAGACTTCATAATTTCAATATGTATATGCCATTCTTTTAGTCCACATGTGTTTTGTCAAAACGATATACCATCGGAATCCACCGCTGCAGCGGTCTATGAAATCAATAAACATTGGATACCTCGCCAGACCCCATACCCGCCTCTACATCAACACTCCAGCCTCCGATCTTAAGCACTACCTCGCATGCTGCATCAAAGTAGCCCTCTCAGCAATCTTGACAGATCTCACCCGTCTCAACTCCTCCTGCCTTCTCTGCTTGCTCTTATCTCTATAGCACATGGTAATAAGGGTACAAGTACAAATAAGTATAAGTGCCGAGAAAACAGAAGCTATGATAATACCAGCTGTACCAACTTCATTCTGGAGTTCCATGCAGACTGTAACTCCGTTGCTTGACTGGGTCGTGCATAGAAGTCCTGGAGAACATGTGCTCGAGGTTATATTCGCAGCATAACACGTCAATGTGGTGAACCCTGTTGTTTCACAGATGGTGCTGCTCTTGACTGTCGTGCTGTAGCAGGAGGCGCCGGGTTCCGTGGAAGTTGAGGTCGTGCTTGTCGATGATGCTATACTTGAGGTCGACGTTGAGGTTGTGGTTGTTGATGACAAGGAGCTTTCTTCTGTAGTGGATGCCTCCGTCGCAGAATCGGTTGTTTCAAGCGTGGTACTTCCAGCCTCAGCTGTCGTCGTAGCTTCATTTTCAGTGGTTTCTACCACTGAGGAATCTTTGGTTGCCGTGCTCGTAGCGTCTGCTGAGGTCCCGGTATCCGCCGAACTGGTGTCTCGGCGCTGGATCAATCGATGAAAGTCCAACTTCATCAGTCCACCGCCTTGTTGTTTCGCATGCCACACTGGCTCCATAGAGGACGAAGAAGCGCCATCTGGGGAAGCGGTTCCTTTAATGAGGCGGTTTTCTGAGCGTTCGACCCGGATACCATGTGCGTGCGTGATGGCGCTTGCGCCTAGGGCCAAGAAAAAAGACGAAACAAGCATTGTGGAAATTAACCGTCCGTATTGCAGTGGTGTTGTTGAACAGTTTCTTCAAGCATTCTGCCAGATCATACTTCTCTTCATATCTTATAGTTAATCGTGACGATGGTTCACATGCAAACTTTCCATATTTATCTAAGTATAGTACCCGCATGAGGCTCATGCTTTGCTTTTCGTCAGTTTCTATTGTAAGCTTAAACTACGTTTGCGCGTCCTATTATAAGAACGTGCTGCGCATTTCTAGCGCGCCTCGACGCGGCGGCAATTGCGTAAACTACTTCCGCGCCGCTTAGTAACATGATGTTCAAGGGAGCTTTGGACAGCACAAAAGATGAAGAGTGTAAATTGGGATGCCAAAAATGACAGCTCATGAAGTGTATTAAGTCCACACTAAGACTGCGTTTGTATTTATGTCGTTTGAGATTAACGTGCAGAGTTTTCTGTCCTCCGCAGAGGGATCTCGGGTCGGTATGTGGGCGGCTATCAGCGATCATCCGGGATGTAACTATTTTTACAGTAACGACCCATTCGCCATGCGTCATCAGGGCATAAAGAGAGGCGCAGGTGAATTATCCTTGATAGGGCGGAATGCAGATTCGCGTCTATTTTAATGTTGCTACTTGTTGAACCCTAGGCCTGAATACAAATGAAAATGCCGGAGCTGTAAAACCAAAAGAGATGTGAATTTCCGTCATGATTCCAGCCGTATATCGGCACGGAAAGACTCCACAGAAGAGACTTTCTAGAACAACAATGACTTTGCTTTCGCTACGTAAGCTCAGACACACAAACATTCTATACGATAGCAAATCATGATTTGAAAAGGGGGAATCACGTATCAAAACTCTCAGGTTGTACGATCATTAAGAGACAAACCGCAAGGTCAGCAGATCAAGTGGCACTTTTGAGCAGACAAATCGAAGGTTGGCCTCTTCTTTAGCACAGAGATTTATCTGTATCTCCGTATGAAACCGTCGTTATAGCCGACAAACAAACAAGTTGAGGATTCTCAGCCTCAGTGAACCACTTGCCAATCCTAGCAGAGTGGCGGTAATACGACTGATTACCTAACAATGGACGTGCACGAGCGCCATTGATGCTCAATCCGAGGAGGATCATAACAGTCTTCTCCGGTAATATGCGTCAAACAGCATGTGGAAACAGCATAAAGCGGTGTAACTCGAACCCTGTGAATTGCGACTTAATAGCAAGCTGTTGTTGTCTTCTGAAGGTGAGACGGTGTGCTCTGTTCGGAGCACTCGTCATAGATTTCCGATCGTAGTCTGCAACAGTTTCTATTTTCTGTACCCTGATTCTGTGGGAAAACCGCCAAGACTAAATCCAATAACAACAATTCTAGTGGCAATAGGTTGTGGAGAGAAATGATCTTGCAGGAAAACACAGCTCCACTCATCTTGATTACGACAGGTTTGCTTTGCTGTGAGATATGACACAATTGCCAACTTGCCCTCAGAGAATAAGAAGCCATCGTCGATAGACGAGATGATGAGTAGTTTCTTTTCAGACGTGCGGAACTGTTGGGAGATTCAACTTCGCTATCCCCAGCCACTGCATTCTCCAAGACATGGCTGTATCATCTGACGCCGTTCCACCAAATAATTGGCGACCATCACTGAGTAGTGATAGATACTAAATCTAGTAACGAGAGACACGGATCTGAATGCGGTAATGATTTGCAGTGTGGCTGATAGCCTTATAGCTTGGATTGTTCTTTGAACTTAAGACTATTTCTTCGGAGCGCATATGCGGAAGGCTGAAAAGAGGGGAGTATATCTGCACAGTTCCATGAGACATCAGAGACACGGGCTTGGTCTATTGGATGAAAGCAATCCTTCTGCCAGAATTACTAGCTCGATCGACATAAATAGCAAGTTTATTTCCCCCACATTCAGGCTTCATCATCAAAGCAACTACCCAGTCTCTTCGACTTACTTACTCCAAACCATCGTGGCTAGTCTCGAGTAAGGTCCTCAAATCACCGCCTATGTAAATGTTGATTTCCCAAATTGCCATTCCTTAGTTATTTTCGTCGCTTTATAACCGTGCGTGGTAGATCAAGTGGGATGTAAAAAACGGCCGTGCCCGTACTGACTCACATCAAGTCGGCGCCTGCAAGCAGTTGGAGGGCAGCCCGTAGGTACAACAAAAACACCAACTGCTTAGATTGCTAAAATATGGCCCTGGTATGTCCAAGGCATTGAGATCAGGAGTGGAATCCATGTAAAGGTGTCCTGCTTTCAGTCAGTTAGACTCTTGATTCACTACATATTGAAAGTGCTTGCTGACACATATAGAGAAGCATGTCATGCGATGGTGAACCATCTAATGTTATTGAGGAGCCGACCAATGGCATGAGAAAGTTCGACGCTTGACGCATCACAGCATATAAAATTGAGGCTTATTAAGGTTGAAGGAACTTCCTGCTGATAATAACAGCACCACTCAATACTTCAATATATGGACCGCGGTCATGGGCTCTTAGCCAGTTCTTTTCCTTTAATAGCTAACCTGCATGCGACATCTTATACTCAGTGGGACAGTTATCTAATTTTCTTTTGTCTTTTTACTTAAATTGAAAGGAACGAATGGGTTCTAGGTTTGCAAGGTACCAAGTCTATGGAAGGCTTAGCAACTTGTAACTCCATAAATTCAGTATAGACTGCAGTGCCATTTGAAACATAATGAGCTTCTAGCTATAGTACTACAAAGTACGAAATGTAGTTGTATTGAATGCTACAAGGTAGAAAATATAACTTTTGTACAGTTAGCAGTTAAGTTAGAAACTCGGTATGCCTCTTTGGGACGCCCTGCATAAGCGGCATTCCCGATTGGAGTATAATGTCACCACGCACCAAGAGTTCAACTGAGACTCGCTCCATTTTCAACCTGCACGCCAGATCGTCTCCGATGGATCCATTATCTATCGCGTCAGGCGCCGCCGGCCTAGCTATCAGCTGCGCGACAATAGTTAAGACGCTATACACCTGGATAGACGATACTGTCGACGTCGACGAGAATGTCTCCAACTTGTTTGAGGAGGTCTCGATTCTGTCGCGAGTCCTAGACTCCGTCAGCAATGCCTCAGGTCGGGTCCCGCAAGCTGTTGTGGCCGAGATCGATCCTGGTAATGCCCTCTGGGGTAGTATTAGTGCTACCCTGGATGATATCAAGAACACATTCAACAAGCTCAACCAGCTAATGGCCGAGCTTGAGAAAACAAGCCTCTTTAGCCGAGGGTTCTTGCGCAAGCCAACCAAGCAAATCAAGTTTAGCCTACGGTCCAAAGATATCACTATATATAAGGACAAAATCAAGTCATACAACACGGCGATGACAAGTGCTTTTCAGATGATCAATGTGTAAGTCATGATAATCGCGGTCTAGGGTGATTACTAACGTGGATAGCTGCCTCCTAATTCACAGCAATTCCTCTCAAGACTCTGTGTTCAAGGTCCTCTCTGGGCTTAAGTCCCAACTGAGACATGTTGAGTTTGCTTTGCACACAAGTAGCTCCGCAAGCCCTGGCCCTTCCAGTGGACGTGAAGAGGACGATCGCGCCACCCAAAATCTCCGATAGTTTGTTCAGGTGGCAGAGAACTTCCACTCAAGCGCTAGTACCATTCTGAGAGAGGGCCCTAGGTCAACTGTCTGGGGAGGAAGTATTATGGGTGATCCTTTAACAGAAGCACAAACATCAATGATCGAGAGATGGATACCTCCGCCAGTCAATGAAGAGCCACGTTCTCCTGTTGACGCCGACTCGGACAGTGAGACTGAATTTGCCAGAAGGATCGAAGAACTAGCGATCAAGAATGAAGCGGATGGGGATCACGCAAAGGCAGAACAATTCTACAGAGGTGCCATCGAGCACGGCGAATCGAGTTCGAGACCTGTAAGCGATATTACTGCTATGAGGATACGACTAGCATATGCATGCATGCGGCAGAAAAAGTGGACAAAAGCAGACGAGGTCATCACTCCAATTGCTTTTGAGAGGAAGACAAACGACATACTAGTGTATCACGGAATGCACGCCTTGGCTCTTGCTTATCTAGATGACTCCAGACTTGAGGAAGCCGAAAAGTATTGCAAGCGTGCTCTTTGGGGCAAGAGAAAAGTTCTTGGCAAAGATCATTTGAGCTGCTGGGAGACCCTAACTTTGCTTGTGTCCATCTGCACGGCGAGAAATAAGACGATGGAAGCAGAGGTCCATCGAAGCTTTATCCCGAACTACGAGATTATTGCGATTGATCCTGAAGCCTTGACTTATCTGGACCGTTCAGTTGGGAGCTTGGGCAGGCCAAGTCACGATAGTGACATGGTTCCACAAACTCAACAGCCATTGGCTTTTCAGCAAGAGTATCCTCACAGCCAACCCTTCACTACGGCAGCTTCTGGCCCCGTTCCATCTCCAGGTAGTTTCCAGTACCCCAAAACCTTCGGTTCTCAGTACACAAGTCCACCAACACCGAATAGTCATCAAGGTATGGTGCAATACACGACACAGCACAGGCAAACAAGACCAAACGTAGAGCCACCTTCAAACCCTCATGTCTCTCGAAAGGCTATCGGGCGTCCGGACACGATCTTATCTACAATGCATCGCCCGCAAAGCATGGGGCCATACTCTCAACAACAACCAGAGCAATCGAGAAGAAGCACCAATCTATCATATAGCCACAATAACTCCCTATCTGAATTCGGACTACTGGATGCTTTCGATCCTCACTGGCGTAACCACCTTGGCGAGGGTCTTCGAGCCGGAGGTTGGAACGATCATCTTATCAAAGAGAACCAGCAGCTCATCATAGACTTCTTCAAGTTTCAACTACCAAGTGCCAGAACAGCTTCTCTGGCCCTGTCGCTACCACCACCTCCCCATTTAACAACAGAATATCCACTGCCCACGCAAGATGCCAACATTTACAAACCCCAAGGTTATCAATCCCCCCCACCACTGTCGCCGTATAACATGGCACCTGTGCCCACGCCTGAATCCAGATATCAGATATTTGTGTCAATCGACTTCATGAAGATAGACTGTGCGAGCACCAGTGTTGCATACGTAGTCAATGACTTTAAGAGCCCGATATCAGAGCTGCTCAGAGAGTGGCCTGGTGCTGGCTCTTACAGCAAATCATCGGCAAGTTATCCATTAGAAGCTCACTGGATCATATCTAATTTCTTAGGTTCCAACTGTTCTTTACTACGATCAATACAATAAGCTAGTCGGTTGGGGCCATGACATTGCTAACGCCCTTGGGCCGACTGGATATCCGAAGCCAGGCGTCCAGAAGGTTGCAGGTCTACCTCTGTTCTTGATCCAAGAGACAGAGGAGTCAATTCCGCTGCCTGGTGTTCCTCCGGGCCTCAACGCTGTGGATATCTCAGCCGACTTCCTCTATGAGGTCAGGCGTACCCTTCGTACCCAATTACAGCAACGTATAGGCAGTAAATTCTTGGAGAACGAGCAGAGGATCCATTGGATTGTTACCACTCCAGAGATCTGGGCAGATAAGGACAAAACTTTATGGAAACGTGTTCTTCAAAGAGCTGGCTATCTTAGAGACGAAAATGATACACGCTTATCGTTCGTCGGCGAAGCAGAGGCGTCAATACACCACGCGATACTGACATATTCCCTCACCCAGGAAACCAAAGATATATTTATCTTTGTGAGCTGTGGGGAAAAGATAGTACATATGTCTGCCTGTAGGCTCCTACAAGCATCGCCTTTCTTCATTTCTAGGCTCATGTCAAATGAGAACCTGGGGTGAGTTCCTTTTACCTCTTTACTACACTAACTAAATGTTCCTAGACCTACCCTGATAGCACAAAAGTTTGCCGAAATAGTGCGGACCAAAATCGACCGCATGCGACTTCCAGATGGCTCCAAAATAGCTAGAAAAGTCTATGCAAAGTGTATCGGTGATTTTGAGCGACGCATCATGATAGAGTTCAGAAACAATGGACAAGAATGGGACATCGATGTTGCAATCGAAACAGAATTTCCCGAAGCAGGGATCAAGGAAGGCTATATGAGTTACACAAATGACGAAATCTTGTCTTGTTTCCAGCCCGTCACCGATGGCATTACCGCCATGATGGCTTATACAATGGGTCAGGTTTTCGAAACTGGCAATATTATTCAGGTAAGTTTAAGTACTCGTTTGGTATTGACGTGCTGATTTTTGATAGGGAATTATACTTGCAGGAGAATTCTGTACATCGGAATACTTGCTACGCGAAATAAAGTTGAAACTACCTGAAAACCTCCGACATAAGGTCTGTCCGCCCATGGAGCCTGCAACACAAGTTGTGACAGGCGCAGCCCATTTGGAATTAACTCGCTATTTGGTTGGCGGTCAACGATATGTTCAATTATGATAAATAGAACAATTAACATACCCAACTACCTTTTCGCCCACCCCCAGTCAACATAGCGGCTTCTGTGCTATTTTACCTGTCTCTTCATGCAGCGGGCATCCAAGCGCTGTCTTCATTCGAGGTCGATACTTTCCGGCGTTGAGATCGCTTACGATAGACAGCCACGGTCGCACGCGGCATGGCTTATTGGGCACACTGACCTCTCTGTGGATGGATTCGTCATGCCAGTAAGGGCCCATCACAGGCCGCAAGCTATTTCTGTCACCCGATGTACCTGCACTTGCAGACCTGCTGTATCTCTACGGAGATCATCGCAAGCTGCAGGACGATTCCATCTCCCCTCAATCCTTTCTTCTTGTTCAAGGGAAAGCCTTCACAGCCGACACCATGTCTGAGCAACCGCAGAAGGTTCTGGGCATGCCGGTAAGGTTCTTCTCCCGAGGCAAGCTGTGATATTGCAAGCTAAGTGGGCGTCCAAGGCTGGCAAGAGGGGACACAAAGCTGATTTTTTATCTTTATTAAGACCCGCGGCTATAGTTACACATGCGTGCTAACGAGGACCTGGAAAGCACCGCTGATGTTAGCCCCTCCTTAAGCCGCATTAATAAATATAGACTTTGTGCTACAATACGACTTGATCCCCTCAAGTCCATGCTCAGCACCAAGGCCGCTTTCCTTAATACCCCCAAAAGCCACATTCGGATTGAGCTCGTGATGGCTGTTGAACCAAACAGTTCCTGCCTTGAGCCTCGCGGCTAGCCTCTCTGCCTTCTCCAAGTCTGGGGTCCAAACCGAGGCACCAAGACCCATGGGGTTATCATTGGCGCGTCTAAGGACCTCATCCTCGTCCTTCCACTTCAGAATAGGAAAGACAGGGCCTAATAATGTAAGCGTCATATCACTGAAACGAAAGAGAAACATACCAAATGACTCCTCGACTACAATCCTGGAGGCATCTGGAGGGTTGTCGACAACCGTAGGAGTAATGAAGTACCCTTTCCCCGCATCTGACGGACTGGTTGATCCTGCTGCGAGCTTGAGGCCGTGGGATTGAATATTTGCGAGTAAGCTCTTCACCCTATCGAACTGCAGGTGGTTCTGGACAGGACCCATAGCGGTGGTACTCTCCAAGCCATCACCAACAGGAAGGCTCTTAACCGTTGAAGCCAATGTTTCCAATACATCATCGTAGATGGACTCGTGGACATAGATACGCTCTATAGCGATGCAGAGCTAGTCTTATCAGCAATGTTGAAGCTTCGAGTTTGAATAACTTACTTGACCAGAGTTCGCTAGAGCCGCCATGGCAAGCTAAGTGGTCTCCAGAATTAGAACTTTTGCTTCAAGGCTTCCCTGCTCCGACTGGCCTTTGGGGCAACTTCTTTGACATTGACATCACTGCAGACAATGGCCGGATCATTACCTCCCCTATATACGTCAGTACTAGACCTCTGATTATCAAGTGTCGACTCACAACTCGAGTGTCACACGCTTAAGATTGCCAAAAGTGCTCTGCAAGACCTTCTTTCCAGTTGCTGTAGACCCTGTAAAGCTGATTTTGTCAACGCCAGGATGTGCGGTGAGCCACGGGCCCAGGTCATCATTGCCGCTAAGTGCTTGAACAACGCCTGCGGGGAAGTACTTGAGAGCCAGCTCAGCGAGCTTCAAGTCACAATAGGGAGTGAATGGCCTGTTTCAAAAGATTACCATGATTGCCTCTATAGTCTTGTAATCAGACTTACGATGGCTTGAGAATGAAAGCGTTTCCCGCAATGAGGGCTGGACTAATCTTTGCAGCGGCTATGCGACAAGTTAGGACTTCGTGCTTCAAAGGATCAAGAAGCCTTACCCAGAAAGACAGAGACTTTCAAGCGTTAGCATCGTGCGAAATAAGTATCCGGGATATTCCACTCACAGTTCCAAGGCACAATACCGACCGCAACGCCTATGAATTATTAGCCCTGAGGACAGAATCAACCACTGGATAACAAACAAAGAGGGACGTATCTGGTGACGACTCGACGACCCGGCTTATCCATGATCATCTCTTTAGAATCAGGTAGCTGTGAATATCCCTGGAGGAACTGAATGGCCATGCCTATTTCCACGTGTGCCAATTGCAACTGCCCTCCTGTCAGATAAGCAGGTTGACCAGATAACCAAGAAACTCATAGGCTTTCCTTGTTCCTTGATTAACAAAACGGCAAGATCTTCCTTGATCAAGTCAATGCCACCCGCAAATTTGGCCACTAAGGCCTGTCGCTCTTTGTACGGGACCTCAGCCCAGGCTTCAGAGGCCTTCTTAGCCGCCTGGACAGCCCTGTCGACATCTTCTCGAGTCGAAACCGGAACTGGGGAGTTCTTCTCTAGAGTAGAGTGATTGACACCCTGGGAAGTCTCCTTGGTTGTCTTGAGCTTTCCGTCGATGACGTTGAAGAACTCGGTGAAGTTGAGCTTGGCATGGGAATTCGGATCAAGTAAGCAATAAAGCCTGTTGCGACAACATAAATCTATAGGTACTATTTTCTTATTCTAGTGCTCTTCTATTTGCATCTACTACATAATACGTAATTTTGCTATTCATTTCATTTCGCTCGACTCGTGATACATATTCTTAGGGAAACAATCTAAGTATCGCTAGATAGAATATAGCGTCCTGATATACTGAAAACATGATGGCGTGTTCAAAGTTTTAACATAACACGACTGAACAACTCAACAATGTCAGAAAGCCAGAGATGATAGACGAACGAGATATGGATTGTCCTCACCCTAGGGCTATACTCGAAGCATTTAAGCGCCTAGCTTTATCATGACCTCCTTCTCAAACCACTCAGGAAAATCTATAACTTTCTTTCCCTTCCTTGCCTCCTCAGCAGCGAATACCATACTATGACTCATAATAACATCCCTTAAATTGCACTTGATATACTCTCGTTGAGCCGTTGACACCTTCTCGCCATGGTTCTTTACCCGATCAACAGCCAGCACGAATTGCCTCGTCAATCCTTCGTCTCCATCACCATGGCCACCGCCCTCGGGAATGTGTGGGTAGTGAACCGTCTTCTTGCACGTCCTGAAGTCTGTCACTGTAATTGAGGAGCTGTCGGCGTACATCTCTCCGTGAACACCGTAGATGTACGTGAACCGGGTACAGATCTTTTCTGTGAACGCAACCATATGCAATGTAGCTGTCTTGCTACCTCTGCCACTAAGAGCTTGCAGAGGTGTTTCACCGGGAGCTGCAATCGGGTCGGCGTCCCAAGAAAGTGTTACAACTTGATTGTCGCAGACATCGTTGTCACATTCGTACACACAACGTCCAAAGGTATTTTTCTTGCTAACCTCATCTGCTGGGGTGTCTTCTGAGTAATCTTCAGCAAGTTTGGAGAGAACAGTCTTCTTAGCTGCTTCTGGCCCACCATTTGGAATACAGTCTTCAATTTCCGGTGCGACGACCGTGCAAAAGTGCTCTTGTTGCTGACTCTTGAGATCAGCTCCTGTGTAAATTCGCTTCGCCGAAAACTGGCACGATGGCTCATAGGCACATGACAAGCAATTGGTGGCGTTTCCAGCTTCGACAGGCTTTCTCTCTTTTCTGAAATATTGGAGGGATCCAGAAGAGCTTATGTCTTTGGGGACATGGGTTGGCTTGTTAGAGCCGGGAGGCGGGGCCGCCAAAATCCAGTAGAGGATATCTATGTCGTGGCACGATTTGGCAAGGAGTGATGGAGCTGCCGCCTTTTCATTGCGCCAATTTCCTCTAGCGTGTGGTCAGTCTTTATCGCTTCTGCAAGCCCATCAGTCAACAACTTACCTGACGTAACTGTGTGTAAAGTGATACCAGCCCACTGGCTCTGTGTGATTAACAGCCATGATGTCTCCGATGACCTTGTCCTCAAGTAGAAGCTTCCTCATCATCATGTTGTGAGGACTGTAACGAAGGACATGACCGATAGCGAACAGCTTTTCTGAGGATCCGGAGGGATCGGGCGAAAGGCTCTTATAGATAGCCATACAATCCTCCAGATTAGGCGCTAGAGGCTTTTCACACATGATGTGTAGTTTCAGCGGTGCAAGACCAAGGACAACATCCTTATGCATGCCATCTTGGACGCAAATGAAGACTGCATCAACACCCTCAGGGACATCTGTGGTCCCAGAAACGACTGCTTGCCGTCGGCTAAGCTCCCATTGAACGAACTCTGGCCAGTCGCTGAACTCTTCCCCGGGAATAGGCTCCCGTGCACCCCAGATGTATTTGCGACCGAGATGCCGTCTCTTTAGTGCGATAGGTTCTACGACGCCGACGATGACGCCATTACTCGAGTTCTTAACAGCCTCGGCATAGGCTTTGCCACGGTTCCCAGCGCCTATGATTAGTAGACGTGGAGGCGAGGTAGAAAAGGCTGGGCGTTCTGGTGGTGGAAGGCGAGTGATGCCGCGGGTGGACTCATCCTGTTCGGCATGGGGTGCCATGGTGAACTAGCAGACAGATACCAAGAAAGATTGGATTGCAGATAATGACCTTGGTACTAATCGCAAGCTATCTTCAATCCTGTTAAGATGCTTCATTAGCAAGGGTTCCCTTATTAATACGTAGCTACGGATATTCGGCTCTGGCAGCTTGTTACATTGCAGCTACCCGACAGCCACGCATACACCAGATTATAAATTTCCCCGCGTTAATGATTTGCAGATATGGAGAATGTAACGTTTAAGAAACGAACTAAGGCCTAATAAGCTCTTATCAATTTGCAAGCAATTGACCTCGAGTCGGTGAAACGGGAAACCGGCGAACCGGCAAACATCGGAAGAACACCAGTCCTATCAATGCACTAACAAGGGTTTAGTCTAGCTCGTTTAAGTCGAGATCACCATCAATATCGATTCGGGGTAGCTACGACTATTGAAAATGATGTTTTATCGGGCTTATCCCCGATAATAGGGTTCCTTGGGCTCTTCGAAGTACTGGTTCATGATGTTGCCCGACTTGTTGTAGCCACATTTGACATAGAACGGCTCGTTCTCCGGACTGGTCCCCAGAGTCGTCTTGTAACACCCGACATTCTTTGCAATAGACGACAGACTGGCCAGTAACTTCAGTCCAAGGCCTTTGCCTTGGAAATCCTTTCTAATCGCGATTTCCTCGATATGTCCAATTAACCCAAGATTGTGAATACTGCCGAAATGAGGTTAGCATCAACATAGTGCAGACACCTTCTTAACCAATTAGAAGACTTACAACTTTCTCTCTACGATAATGGCACCGGTTCCGACAACTCGGTTCTCATGCTCAATAACCACGTGGTAATGCACCCCTTGGCCCTGTGTCTTCATCCAATCGAACCTCTCCTCGAAGCGACCTTGGGACACGTCCCCTACATCAGACAGTACGCCGAGGCAGTCAAGGAATCCCTTTGCATAATCCCCTCGTTCCAATGGTCGGATAGTGTAACCTTCAGGGAATGATGTTACAACATCAGTTCCAATCAGGTCTGGTGAGAATAGAGGGCCGGAGAGAGGGCCGGTTGCAACCATCTTATGTCGTGCCTGGAGGCTGTAGTGTAAGAGGGGTCGATTAGGTGAGATGGTTTGCCTTGTTCTGTCGACTAGCGTCACGATAGGGAGTATGGATGAACGCGAAGGAGTCTTGCATATATATGGATGATATCTTAGAAAAGCCCAGCTAACCGGGTCCAGGCACAATAGCCGGCAAACGGTCGGTGCGAATGCCGGGCCAAACCCTGTCCGATAGCTTTCCCCGCATTTTAGTGCGATCCTTCTCTAGCTATTGACTGCTTATCGTAAGGGGCCAAGAAACGTTGCATTGGCGTGTTACATTTTATCGATATGGAAATGAGATGCTATCTCGTGCACACGCATGTCTGCGGGGTGCTAATTCAATATCCCCAGGTCGGTCCCCGCAGAATCGATGATACGGCTAAGCAAGCGAGATATCTCTTGGTGTACTAATCTTCAATAGATACTTAAACACCGTTTATCGCCGTTATAGGAGGACCACTTCCTCTTGCCCCTGCCAAACTCTCTTACTATCTCCATTATACTATATCTTTGAAAATGGCAACCCTAGACAAAGAAGCCAACAGAGATAATCATGACATGGCAGACCTGAAGAGATCTGAGCTCCTTGAGATCGATGCCACCCGCGACCTCACCGTCGAAGAGCACAACCTTGGCTTCCGTGAGGCCGTTCGCCAGTATCCGTGGGCCGTTTTCTGGGCTCTTTTCTTTGGCATTGCCGTTATAATGGCGGGCTTTGACGCCCAGATCATCACTTCTTTCTATGCCCTACCCGCATTCCAAACAAAATATGGTGAGCGGGTTCATGGCGGCGACGGCTATGAAGTTTCTGCGCCGTGGCAGACGGCTCTGGGAATGGGTAATCCGATCGGCCAGGTTCTTGGAGCACTTGCCAGTGGTTATCCCCTCGAGATGTTTGGTCGAAAGAAGACATTAGCTATCTGCTGCGTCTGGTCTATTGCCTTGGTGTTTGTTCAGTTCTTCTCCACAAGCATTAGGATGCTATGTGCTGGCGAGATTCTCGGCGGCTTGGCTTATGGATTCTACGTCGTCATTGCACCAACTTATGCCTCAGAGGTGTGCCCTCTTGCTTTGAGAGGTTTCCTCACCACTTCTATTAACATGGCGTTTGTGATCGGCCAATTTATTGCCCAAGGCTGCGCGGCCGGTGTAGAGACCCGTATGGACGAGTGGGCGTACAAGATCCCTTTTGCGATCCAATGGGTCTGGCCCACAATCCTTCTCGCTGGTCTTCCCTTCGCCCCTGAAAGTCCGTACTGGCTGGTTCGCAAAGGCCGACGTGAGGCAGCACGTGCCGCGCTCATGGGCCTGTCCTCACCTACCAACAGACCCGATATCGACAAGGCTCTTGTGGGAATCGAACAGACAGATCTTCTCGAGCAAGAAATCGAGTCGTCCACATCGTGGTTGGAGTGCTTCAAGAGAGCGAATTTGGTTCGCACTGAGATCTCAGTAATGGTCTACCTTATCCAGGTCATTGGTGGAAATCCGCTTATTGGATATGCAACATACTTCTTCCAAAAGGCCGGCCTGGATCCCTCTGATGCTTTCAACAGTACGTGTTTCGAAAAGCTAAAAACTACAGACCTGCTGACTTGGTACTCTAGTGGGTGTTGGTAACACCGCTCTGGGTTTCACTGGTACGGTTCTCTCGTGGTTCCTACTGAACTGGGTACGTGTCATCGCCAGTCTTATCCCCATAATCCTTCAACGCATCAGCTCATAAATCACACAGTTCAAACTTGGTCGACGCACGATCTATAATGCGGGTATGATGGTCATGACGACTCTCCTATTCATCATCGGTTTCCTCAGTATCTCTAGCACCACCGGTGCTATATGGGCTACTGCTACGCTGATGGATATCTGGACCTTCGTGTACCAAATGACTGTCGGTCCCATCTGTTTTGTCATCATTTCCGAGATCTCAGCCACCCGTCTTAGAGAAAAGACCATTGCTGTGGCTACAGCAGTGCAGGCTGCCGCCTCCGTTGTGTTCACAATTGTCATGCCTTTAATGCTTAATACTGATGAGGCCAATTGGGGCAGTAAGACGGCTTTCCTCTTTGGTGGAATTAGTCTTGTATGTCTTGTCTGGTGCTACTTCCGGCTTCCTGAGAGTCAAGGTCGTACATTTGAGGAGCTGGACATCCTTTTCCAGAGGCGCGTTCCTGCGAGACAGTTCAAGAAGTTCGATCTACTTAACGGAGTGGACGATGTTATGAGTAGGGAGGGATAGAGCGAGATAGCTTAATACTATCTAAATCTTATAGGCATCTTAAACAGTGGCTAAGGTTCAGCTATTTATCCCGAACTCGCCTCTGCATCAAACAGCAAAAGTATTATCACATTAATGGAACAACGCATAGTTAACTGTATTTCTACTTATGCTTGGTAAAATACGGGCTAATCGTACTAGAGGTCAGACAAACTGTATACGCTTGACTCGCGTTGGTAGTTGATAGAAATTGGCAATTGTGTGTTAAAAGAAGATTTTTCGGTAGCAGGACCATATACTAAGAAATACCTAAGCTCTAGGTAAATATAGGTAAGATTTAGGTAGTCCTTGTTATATTAGTGAAACGTATGGCGGTTATTTTCTGACTCACCTGAGAGGGTAAGTCTTTGCCTTAGTGGCGGTTTCCCCTGCGCTATATCACTGCTGTATTCTATGAAAAAGTGTATATCCAAGTACAGTAGTCACAGCAGGTAATTGATTCTTGGATTTGTTATGAGCGATATTGGATATAATGTTTTGCATTTGGTAGTGTGTGACATTGCGCGCTGGACTTGAAACATATGACCAATATGTCTATGAGTCAACTACGTATCCAGCGTAGGAAGATTATAAAGCTATTTAGCTGGTCTAACTATTAAACAGAGCGACCGGGGCTCGCAGACCTCCGATAACCATGGCCAACTGACGCGCGACTATTATGTACTCTAGCCCTCCATATCTCCTCAGCTTCGTGCATGGCATTATCCTCTGTTACTATAACCCTGACCCTAACCACTTTGTCGTGCTCTATTGGGTTCCTGATTATGAATAGAGATTCGTGATAGGGATTGAATCGTGATCCACTGTATGACGACCCTTTGGCATAGGTGCTCTTAGTAACATTGATTTTCTGCAACAGCTCGAGATCGCTGCTGAGAACCTCATTTGGACCAACCCTGACCAAAGAGCCATGCTCTTCGTTAAGCTCGAGTTGGGCTTCATACTTCTTGCCGCTTATTGCCAATCGGGCCAGTCATAGATATGAGAACTTGGCCAAGGAAGGCCCTGGGACATGACGTAGACGATACCATGAGACAGCGGAAGACACAATGTACCAAACGACGATGGCGATAGCCCACCAATAGTCGAATGTGAGGTACCGAAAGAACATTTCGCTGAGATTTATCGTTTAGAGAAGGAATACAGACGACCTTAACAGCGAGAATAAGTGGCAGGTTTGGAGTTATATCCATCAGCTACCCCTATTGTTGGCCGCGACGATCCCACTTTAGCTTTCAGCTGGTATGCATGTTGGTCTTTGCTATGACGCTGCTGTGAGTTATTACTGGAGTTCTTTTGGGTTGTTATTTGGGTCTTGGTGACAGAGTTAGGAAACTGCTTCTGTTGGCTTTACATCCAAGACTAGCACCGGGTCTTCCACTTCTGTCGAGACTAACACTGCGATTACTGAGAGCGAGACTGTGACCGAGAGTGAGACAGCGGCCACAAAGGCTCTCAGCACTAAAGCCTCGATGACCGTTGCCGAGAGTGCTACCACAACCACGACAGTCGACGAGCCTCTGCTCACCAACGCTGGCTTCGATGATGGCACAACCGCCCCGTGGCAGTTGCTAACGCAACACCAAGACACCTTGGTTCTTGGCCGCGCCTTCCAAGGCTCAGCCTCTGGTAAAGTCCAGTTTGGAACCGAAGATGGCAGCCAGTACTCCAATGTTATTATCCAAAAGATCAACAAGAAAGCACTCAAAGCGAGCTCATACGTCCTCGAGGGCCGTACCCGCGTTGACGACTACAGCGACAGCGGCGACGGCTGCAGTACCATCATCGCCTCTTGCCTCACGGGAGCTACAGGAAGCTGGGTTCCCGTGCCGGGTTCGATTTCGCGGGAAAGCGCTGAGAATTCCTACGGTCACTGGTACCAGACGGCCACCACGTGTACCTTCACCGACGAGATGCTGTCTGGGGATGCCGACATTAGCGTTGTGTTTGGATTCTTCTGTGCTAATTCAGGTGCCTACCTCGACTCTGTTGAGCTCAAGCCAGCTGCTGTGATCCCCAACACCGACACTACCACGGTTGCCACCAACAGTGAGACTAGTATGATAATCACTACCACTCAAGAGACTACAATGGCCACCTCCAGTGAGGGCTCAACAACCGCTACTGAGACTGCTACCACGACCACAGCAGCCGATGCAGACCCAACAGTTCTTCTCATTAACGGCAACTTCGATCTCGACACTGCTGAGCCCTGGCTATCGACTCACTCCGAGTCCGTTGACCGCGACATCAACAGTCCCTTCGAAGGCTCAGCTTCTGGACGACTCCTGTTTGGAGTCGATGGCGGCCTGGCGTATAACAACTACATTTACCAAAAGATCGATACGAAGGACCTTAAGGCAGCCTCTTACCGCCTCTCTGGCTTGGTCCGCGTCGACTACTACAACCCCAGCATAAGTGGCGACGGATGCAATTCAATGGCGGTTGGCTGTACCCTTGGAGACCCAAACAACCTCAATCGTGTCCCGGGCTCAACTTTAATGGGCACTCCTAGCGTCGCCGTCGATAACTGGTTCCCGCTGGATACAACTTGCACGCTTACGGAGGAGATGCTGTCTCAGTATGACTATGTTAGCGTTACTTTTGGATTCAGCTGCGCCGAGGTCGGTGCCAACCTCGACGCTGTGGCATTCCAGGAGGTTGTTTAGCATACTCACATACTGTCTGTGTTGAATTCCTTACTGTGTATGTAATTCAACTATATAATTAGTCTTCTCAACAGATCAGGTGAGTTCACTCATTAAATCTTGGTCTGCCCGTGCTTTTACGAAATAACTCCGTGGTCCCTGGAAGCTGACTCTCTTATCCGCACTAGTGTAGGATTCTAGATCTTCACCACGCTCAAGCTCACAAGGTTTAGGCTGAATAGTCCCTACGAGGGACTGCTGAAGACATGCCCTCACCTCCTCAGTAGTTCCCCAGCATCGGCATTACACGTCAAGTGTCCACATGCCATTAAAACACGACCTAGAATCTTAGCAACACAAAACTGTCTGGGTTTGTTCCTGTACATACTTTGGCTCTCTGTAGAATTCCATCCTTTGACGAGTCCTTGAAGCCTCTTGATGGTTGCAACATAGTTTTTAATATTTCCCTCTATAGGGAACAATATAGGGGCATGCTCGTATACTGTGTCTCCAACAAAGAGAAATCTTTCTTGGGCATCCCAGATAGCGAGTTGGTCTGGGGTATGACCGGGAGCATGATATAGCACAAGGCCCAGATCATTGCCTGCACTATCAGTGATTGACTGGCCGTCCTCAGCCCAAACAGTCACGGAATACTTGGGCGTATTCATTCCAACAAAGCGACAGAGAGACGAAGTTGGCAGTCTATCTGGACCGGCGATAAAATCTTTATCGTAAGAACTAGCCACAACAGAGGTGGTTGATGACTCTGTAAAATGCATAATCCCGCCTAGCCAGAAATAGTCAGTCTCGAGCCAGCGTCCAGGCAAGCTTTGACCCACTTACCAATATGGTCGTAGTGGCAATGAGTGCATATCACGGTGTAGTTTTTGGCGCCTCCCGGGTTAAGAGGTTGACTGTCGTTGTCTGCGACGGAATACTCTTCGATGAAATGCCGGAGGGACGTGAAGTCAGCATCGGAAGAATTGTGCGGGCCCCCGCAGCCAGTATCAATTAGGACGACTGTAGAGGCGTAAAGACGCACGTAAATAAACGGATTCTCGCCCCATTTGTCGTCCTCGGTGATGTAAAAAAGATTCTCGGTGAGTTTGCGGCAGGTAAAATATGTATCCTTGGGTGCTTTGTCTGCGGATGCAGGGTCTGGAGGACCGAGCTTGTAGCACATAGTTGTCTCTTGTCTCCGGATGAGGGGTGACTGATTGTGGAGAGTGACAGATATCGCCAGGGAGAAGAGCTGGTTTTAATATGGCATCATGTGGGGCAATAAAAGCTAGAACGCTTCGGGGTATTGAAATGCATGTTTAGAAACTGAGAAGGTCTTTTTCACTATTTATCTAATGAACAGACGGTATAGTATCGTTGAGAGGTTTTTGCTAATAGTTATTTTCACTAGTAAAGAGTTTTTATGTGTATGTCTCTGATTGGTTGCGAGACTTTTGTGTCTGGAATAAGTAGTTAACCCTTGGTGATTTCGTAATCTCGGAATCTTATCGCTGATACTTCAACGTGCTCGCTGGTGGATGACCGCATCAATTCATTTTTGACATGCGAAATAAAACGAAACATTAGGTAGATAGATGCTTGGACACAAAGTGTGACGACTGAATGCATTCAGGTTCACAGTTCTGTAACATATGATATGGTGTGCAAAGCTGAAAATAATCCCTGCCATATGCATCAGGGAAAACAATAAGCGCCGAGCATGCGTTGACAGACTTCTCGAGGTTAAAAACACTCACATCGATGCTCAGCCAGGCTCATGGGATGAGGGTCTGCTGGAAAGGGCGATCAGAGGTGGTTATGGGCAAATAATTAGAATGCTAGTTGAGAGGGCTGCCAAAATCAGCAAGAAAATGGTAGATACAGCATTAGTGTTGGACAGTTTGAGGTAGTGTGGAGGTAAAGACAAAGTGCAAGAGGGAGGAGACGATGAAGAAGGTGTACAAGAGGAGGTACACGATCAGGAGCTAGGAGATAAGGAGGAAATACGGCCTAGTCTCAACCCTCCAGATATTGGAGGGTATATACATGCCACCTTTTTCATTATAAACTTCCTTCAGGGAGCATGCCCATGGAAAGGGCGGCAGTATCGTACTGTTAGAACTAATTCGACGACTATATCCATAGCTGATCGGTTACAGTCACAGGTTCATTAGTGGCTAGATGGTATTAGTCAAGTTTACAATTAATCAGAAATATAGCGATAAAAGTCATACTACCTCCCGTTGCCTGACCATATAAATCAAAGGAGGTTCTGTTCCGTTACCTTGCACGGCTCGAGATTATGGCTATCATTTTTGAAAAGATCAAAAAAGGTTTCGCAGACCGTCTACGACACACTTTCGAGGTTTCGTGGGATAGGATGCAGTCGATACCCAACGGATCGAAACATCGTATCATCGGCAAACAAACCTCAATCATCAAAGCCTTCGTGTGTCTACAATATAACATAACCAGACAAATCCCAGTCAAAACCTTTCAAGCTTTGTAAACCGAGCCTCTAGGCTGTAGGTGGCTGACCAGTTTCAGGACTAAAGACTAACTCTATATGGACTAGTCTGGCTTATGATTGGACGACTCATCTCGGTTATGCAGTCTGACAAGTCTGACTGTCAGAAAGTTGTCAATATCAGCAGCTCTCTGTCATCTTTTCTCAACCGAAGCCAAAGTCGTCAGCTTTTTCTCGCATACTGTTATTCTCTCCTTAGCCGAGACCTCAGGCGTTTATATGTCCATAATGAAGCCTAACTGGGAGCCATTCGTGAAATCCACTGAAGATGATTGGACGGCTGTACCGGACCCCGCCCAGCGAAAGCGGATCCAGAACAGGCTGTCCCAACGAGCCAGGCGTATGTACTATGATAAAACTGTTGGGCGGAAGTGCTTGGCTAATGCTGATTCCAGGGTCACGACTTGCTGGTAAACAGAAGCAAGCGGCACAGTATGAGGTTAATGAGGACGCGGGAGCCCTTGTGAGAAGAGATGCAGGTCCTAGTCTCGGGCAATCATCTACAGAGGGTTCGAGCATGGCTGTCACAGACATGTTCGATGCAAACCTCTTATATACCCAATACACATCTGAGCAACCCACAATGGACAGTCATTACCTCATCTTGACCGACCTGACCGCCGCCACAGCCTTAGCGGTCATAGCTCAGCGCCTCGACCTCGACTGCCAGCAAATTCCAGGCTTCAACATTAAAGCCCTGACCGACAGTCTTCCATCTGCTATAGCGCCCACGCAATTACAGAAGAGCGTTCCTCACCTGTCGTACCTGGACATGCTGCCCTGGGCATCATTGCGGGACAAACTCCTCAAATCTCTCTCTATTATTAACGAAGAGGAGTTTGCGCGTGATATGCAGTATGGAAGCTTAAAGGTATGGGGGACAGTACCGTGGGACCCGATGGGATGGGAGGTTGGCGAAAGCTTTGCGAAGCGGTGGTGGTTTCTGATGGATAGTGGGATACTTCAGACGACTAACTTTTGGAGGTCTCAGCGGGGAGAGAGGCCATTAACTCTGGCATCCCTGCAAAGCTGAACGATTAATTCCTCTTCCATAAAACTAATTCCGTGGTCTTGTCAATTAGCTGGTACTTGCGAAAGAGCGCTGATGCAGGGGAATGCATTCTGACCGCAATTTCTCTGGGCTGCTTCAATCTGACAGTCTGAATGACCAGGGTGTCAGACCCATGAAGGAAACGACAACATTGGATTGATAAGCTGAAACATATTCATATATAAAAAGAATAGTACTATTTCTTCCCCGCAAGAAATTATTAGAGAAGACACATTTCCGGCATCATTTTACTTAAACTCGACGTTCTGTCACTATCTCTTAATCTACCATCATGCAAGCTGCCTGGACGCAACTATTCCCACCCAAGCCTAATTTCACCGAAGACAATGTTCCTTCACTAGAAGGCAGAGTCTTCATGGTGACGGGTGGAACTAATGGCGTCGGCCTAGAGCTAGTCAATATGCTGTACTCTAAAGGAGGCACAGTCTATCTTCCAGCCCGGTCCGCCACCAAAGCACAGAAGACTATCGAGACCATGAGGGCGGCACATCCAGAGAGTACTGGCAACCTCAAGACTCTTCACATTGATCTCAATGATCTTGCCTCCGTGGCAGTCTGTGCATCAGTCTTCCTTGCGCAGGAGACTCGTCTCGACGTTTTATGGAACAACGCGGGGATTAGCGCCGCACCATCAGACGAAGTTACTGCCCAAGGATACGAGCCACAAATGGGAATAAACTGCTTGGCACCATTCCTTCTCACCAAGCTCCTACTCCCTGTCCTAAAGCAAACAGCCAGCAGTAACCCCGGACCCTCGACGAGGGTTATCTTCACAGGCTCGGGTGTGATGGACATGATGGCCCCGCCTGGAGGTATTCCACTGGCTAAGCTTACTCCTGGCAAACAATCAAAAGACCCAACACATAACTACACCATTTCAAAGACTGGAAACTGGTTCCTCGCCTCTGAATTTGACCGGCGTGTGCGATCAGATGGAATCATTTGCATATGCCAGAACCCAGGCAACCTCTCGACGAATATCTGGGACCGCGTGCCGTGGCATCTCAGGGTACCGAACAAAGTCTTCTTGCACCCACCTAAACGAGGAGCTTATTCGGAGCTCTGGGCTGGTGTTAGCACAGAGATCAAGCTTGAGGACGGTGGTAGGTATGGTATTCCTTGGGGAAGATGGCACCCGAGCCCTAGAAAGGATCTTGTCCAGAGCTTGAAGACGAAAGAGGACGGTGGCAGTGGAATTGCGGCGGATTTTTGGGATTGGTGTGATCAACAGACAAAGAAGTATGTGTAAGTCGATAAAGTTCCTACTTATCAAGACGGGGTGCATCATCCACAGGGTAGGGAATCACAGATAGATAATGGTATAGATTGCAGGAAGGGAATTCCAATAACATGTAGAACTTGCACCTTTACCATATTCATCCTGCATGTCTCCTATAAACCAGCATTCGCTTGTACTTCAAGTAACAGCGTTGTCTGTCAAATCTCCCTTCGCTACTTGTCTACACAGACTTCAACACGAAGTTCTGTAATTTCCCTTCCTCATAAACCTCAACCTCTATAAGCCTACCCGTCTCCTCTATCCTTCCATCTCGAAGTTCGAACCTAATAACAGTTGGAATAGCTGATATGTTCCACTTGAGCTTGTGTGGGTTATCCGGCTTCTTCCACCTGTGGACTTGTCAGCCAACACTCTCCATACTGACTAGAATAATCACCCACCCAGGCCGGGGACCAACGCTCTCGTAAATAGCCTTGGGCCCGTCCGGCTTATCAAATGTCTCTTTCAGGAATGGTAAGGCAGCTCGAACATCGGAGCACCACGGTGCACCGGTTTCCTCATCGTTGGAACTGGTGAGAATGACATAAATTGGCTCGTCACTCCTGGCAAGAGGAACTAGGTCCTCGGGACTCGACAACTGAACATCATTAAGGATCGGCATATTTACGGCTATTTTATTTTTTCTTTTTGATGCAGCGATATGTCTTACGTTGCGATTAGTGCGGGCTATTTATCCTTCTAGGTTGGTGGGGATCAAGGCGATGGTGTCATCAGACCCATCGATTATTACACCGCAACCTGACTCATATCTCTTCTCTAGCGCTATCTATCATACTCAGAAACGACTACGATACGGAACCCATTGCCCCTCCAAAACCCAGTCGGCTCAAGACTCCCGCGATAAGTGCACGTCGCCTTGGCTTGACCACTCGAAAAGCACCCTCCTCGCAAAACTCTCCGGATTGCATCGTCTGCTTCGAGATCCTCACGACCGTCTGGGCTTTTCCACGGGTATTCAAACGTTGGAGTCGCCATGTCGGTTCCCCATAATGTTGTGCACCATTCCCATACTTGGCCTGTCATGTCGTAGCAGCCAAATGGTGAGCAGGACTGGGGAAATAGACCGACGGCACATTTATTGTTCAGCGCTAGTTCTTCGCAGTTTGATAGACTCGTTGCAAAGTTGGTGCCCCATGGATAGATGTTCTGTCCTGTCTGTGACTCGCGCTGATCTCCTCTTGATGCTCTCTCCCACTGGGGCTCTGAAGGTAGTTGTACGGTTTCGTTGGGTTTTATTTTACTCCTTTCCCTCCATTTCGGAGTGAGCCATTGACAGTATGCCCTGGCGTCATGCCATGTGAGATCTGTTGCCGGTGTGTTCCGCAAAAAGGGATCATAGCCATCTTGGCTCAGCCAAGGACGACCTGTCTGCTGCACAAAAACTCCATAGTCGCGGTTCACAACTGGAAACGCGCCGATTTTGAATGAACCAAGATGAAGCTCATGAACAGGACTGGAATTCGGATGATTGGATGATCCGAAAAGACTTGTTCCTTCTGGGATCTCAACTAAGCCTGTCAAATCACGTGGATCTCCAAACAGTGAGAGATATCGACCGGCTTTAACCCGATAAGATACTGGAAGGGTGTCAAGCATGACCACTTTTAGTAGACGAGCTGTGACTTGAGTGACAAGGGGTACATTGTTAGGGTCTATGAACTCGCAAGCGACCAGTGCAGCATATTGAGCCATCTCTCCGTCAATTTCATAGTCATACCGGTTCAGAAGTTCGAGTATGAACCTCTCTTGCTTTTCTCCCTTTACAAGTCGATGCAGGAGACTTCGAATAATGGGCATTGCCGACTTAGCATCTTGGCCAAAGACGTCCAGTATCTCGTGCAAAGTTGCCGTTTGTAGCTGCGCAGCCACCAAGAGTTCTTGAACTGCGGCGCACGAGACGAATGGCCATTTTTGAGTCGTCCTTGCCAGGGGCTTGAGCTGACTGTACCGCTGATCTGTCCATTCCTCCCGCGCAGTTTGTAAAAGAACTTGACGCGTCTCGGGCGATGAAAACCCATGACCTAGCCAAGCATCCAATGCTGATTCGCTTGTATCCCCAACACGTCCGGCTGCTAGGGACAAGGCAAATATAGCTGGTCTCGAAGCGGCGATTCCAGAACCAAACGTTGTGTCCAGACACAACTTTCGAGCGAGCTCGTGTCTTTGAATGGCCAGGAGCGGCAGTAGCTCGAGCTTTGAGAAGCCGCTTGGCAGGGTCCAGTCTTGGCTATCACCGTCTGTCCCCAGGACGAGCAGCCTAACGTGCGGCCTTGGAGTAATAGCGCTGGCTATAGATGCGAGATGCGTCACACCTTCGGGCCCTGCGCTTTCGATACCATCCAGTATCAAAAGCAGTTCCTCATCTTCGCTTTCTTTTTTTCTGCTATCCCAAGATTCAAGAATCTCCGGCAGCTTTCCATCAACATCTGCAAGGTCTTGCGTATTGATGATTGTGACGAGCAATGGCAGCGTTCTCAGCCCACTCAATATCTCTTTTCGTCTCTCGCCGCCTTCATTCCGAAGAATAGCGTCCCTGTCCCTCTGGAAGATACCAGTGGCATGTCCAAATACCAGGTACTCTGCGAATGTCGTCTTTCCTGAACCACTTTTGCCAGTGAGAAGTAAGAACTGATTGTCTCGCACGGCTTCGAACGCAGAGACGTAGACTGCCTCCTCTCTCGTATTGCCACCTTTGTGCTTCCGCAAACCTTTGGCTGCCTTGTCTTCAACGGTAAGGTTCACAAGTAATGGGATGTATCCTTCAGATAGGGAAACTCTATCATCCTTGACGGTGGTGAAAAGCGTCTTTTGACCCAACTCCACACCATTCCGTTTGAGCGAAGACCAATCTTCCATGTTCCGAGACTCTTTCTTCTTGATCGTGGTGCGTGACTTGATATGCTGACTAAAGTTGAAACCTCCAGTTGTGGCAATTACTGCATGAACTGGATCAAGACGAAGGTTGTAAAAGCGAATTGAACTGAAATACGATATCTGGTATCCACAACGTACGAGCACGTCATTTTGTACCATATGCATGTCATTGACGGCGCGGGCACTATGGGAGAGGTCGTTTATTGTTCAACTGTAAGAGGTAGGACCGTCTGTACAAGATAGCGAATAGCGGTGAATTTTCCAGTCTAACAATGTCACAAAGTCTTCCAGCGGCCATCTGAATTTCGGAACATGGTGAATATAACTGTCCCAATCATTCGTTCCAGTCTCGTACTTGCCTATATACAAAACCCAGCCCTTCCATTATGGACCAACATGTTTCCTCTTCTATCCGACCCTTGTCGTCTTCACTCTACTACAGAAATTTATAGCTACGCCGATGTCATATGACTCATCCTGCTTTTGCCTGCGCCAGAATATCCACCTCTCAAGCTAAGAGGATCTGAGCTCTTAGACTACTTCTTTCGGCTATAGAGATACCTCATCGCCGTGATACTCAGAATGGCAATTCCACCAAACAATATCAAAATCTGATAGCCGTACTTGTATTTTGGCGCATCGTATGTCGGAAACAGGACCACTGCGGGAAAATTAGGTCTGTCGTAGCCCTTTCTTATGTCTTTCAAATACTTACATGGTACCCAGAGGACCCAAGCGTACGACACAAGATTAGCCGTAGCCACCAAAAGCTGCCTGGTGTTGGTATCAGCAGCATTCAAACCGTATGTCCAGCTCTATTTTATGCATTAGCTGTGAGCCTGAAAACAAGACAACATAACTTACAATGAGCACAGGAGTACATGCTGAGCCGGTGTAGGAGATGTAGTAAGCGAACATGAGAGCGGACTTGGGAATGTCCCAGACTGAGAGAAGAATATTGGCCACGATCATCAGAAGCGTCAGGGACGCAATCAGCCAGTAGTACTGCTTGGTTCGGTCCGCTATCATGCCCCAGGCCACCGTTACGACAATGGCGAGCGCATTTCCACCAGTTGGTAAGTAGTTGATCTTTTGCACGCTGTATCCCTCTGCCTTCAGCCAGAGGTTGAAGTAACTTGTAGCCGTGTGGCAGGCAGCGACCATGCTGCGAAGTATGAGCCAGCGGTATAGAAAGTATTGGGATTGTTACTTACGTGTATGGGATGACAAACATCCAAATTTTCCAACCCGTGTAAATTCGCTTAATCTCGGCCCAGTTCAGCTTGATCTGCTCTTTGACACCAAACTTGGCAATTCGCTCCTGGCCATACTTGATATGCTAGGAAAATGGTAAGCTTACTTGTCAGACTTGCCTGGAAGTTTTACTCACTTCTTTTGTCCAGTAAAAGGCTCTCGTGTTATGTGGGTGATCAGGCAGTCCAAACAAACCCCAGATGGCCACAGGAACTGAGATTACTCCGTCCATAATGAACAACCACCTCCAACCAGCTAGGCCATGGCGTCCATTCATACTACTGTATAAACCAGCCTGAAGATATCCGCTAAACATGCTAGCGATAGACTCAACCTCAAGAAGAATGGCCAGACGCTTTGTCAGCTCATTAGGACCATACCAACTGCCAAGCATGGCGATGTATCCAGGAAAAGCGCATGATTCGAACAATCCGATGAAGAAACGCAGAACGTACATCTTTTAGTGTATTAGTCAGTAAGCCTTGAGAAATGGGGAATAATATCTTACCACTTTAATACTATGGGTAAAGCCCATGCCAATGACCAACGCCGACCAGCATATCTCACAAGTAGGAATCAAGATGGAAGGGCGAATATGGCTCAACTGTAGCATTTGAGCCGGGATAGTACCGACCATGATGCCCAGACTAAACCATGTGCCAAGCCAGTTGCGCTCGTTGCCGTAAAGATCGAGATCTTCTTGCATGCCACTGACAAAGGCGTTACCTACAGGACCGTCAGCCGTGGCCTAGAAATCAGGTTCAGTTACTTTGCTCGAGAACTCACTGTAATTGGTCTGGTCCAAGTATTTGATGAAGTAGCCAAGCAACACCGTTGGACTAGGCGCCGTTAGCTGAGCCTCCCGCTAATGCAGGATGAGACGCTACTTGCAAGAAGATCAGATCTAAACGTCTTACATATGCGCGGTACTTAGGATCCCCGTCAATCGAGTCCCAAAAGAAACCAGCAATGCGTCGCCATTCGGAACTCGACTTTGCATCGGGGTCAAGACCATGGTCGATGACCTCTGTGTCCAATACAGGATTGGCTTTGGCGTCGAGGCTAGGTTTTGTCGCGACTTCAGCGTCACTGTGACTATGGGTGTCAATCCGATGTGCCATTTTTGCTGTACGCTTGGTCTCTGTTTATCATTGTCCAGAGATAATCTCGCAGTTATATAAACATGACTGATGATGAACACGAAATTGCCCGATAGGGTGCAACAACTTAGTCAAGAAAAGTCAACTATTTCTATCCAGTACGGATCTAATTCCCCTAGATCGCACCCCCAAAGTAGAATTACACCGATCACGGGAACAGTATCCTCTGTAATCGCACTATAGATTTAGGCGAAGTGCTGATAGCTTTCTGAGACGAGCGTGATAAGCTGATGGCGCAATAATAGTCTGAGGATGCGACAACAGGCTAGTACCAAAATGCCAACGCGACATAAGAGTACATCGGATCAGTATGGGAAGCTGTCAGAAAAAAAGGTATTTCTATGAACTTACTCCTCGATTTCTCCCGACCAATGCCATTACAATCCGCTATGGTGTCATCCAAGACGTGGGGCGGCGTCCACATCTAGAAGCCATTGAACTGGAGCAGTTGATATTGATAAGAAGACATGACGAGTTGAGTCAGGTATGAATCACAATCACAAAATATAGCCAAAATGTCTGATCTTCTTCGCGTCGTTCTTGAAAACGTCGACTTCCGTCTGCCCACGCAGGTAACCGACGACAACAGTGTCCTCGCTCTCAAAAGCTTAGTCTTGGAACCTTTGATTCAGTGGCAGCCATCCGGCGAGGTCCTACCAGGGCTCTTTGCCCGATGGGATGTTTCAGACGATCAACGAACCTGGTTCTTTCACATTCGAGATGGAGCCGTCTTTCACGATGGGAAACCTTGTGACGCCCCCCTCATTGTCGAATACATCAAGGGTTTTCTTGACTCACACGATTATTTTGGTATGGCTTGGAGCTACAGCCGTTATTTCGCCAATACAACATTCACCGCCGAGGATGCCAAAGTAGTCAAGATCCAGCATCAAGAGCCATTCGCAGATCTTCTCAACGTCCTCAATGACTTTTGGCCGTCGAGAATTGACGCGAATGGAAAACCAATCCTCGGCACAGGTCCATATCGCGTTGTCGACTTTAAGCGTCAAGACGATATTGGCTCTGCAACACTAGAGCTGGTAGATCCTGCTCAGCATCCAGCTTGGTCACGGAAAATCGTCGCTACGGCGGCTCGCAGTGGTGAAGAGAGGTTAAAGCTTTTGCAAAGCGGACAAGTGGATGCGGCCTTGAATTTGGAACGCATTGACGATCTGAATCTTCTTGACTTCCAATCTTCGCTACGGTGGGGAAGAGTTTCAAGCACCTTGTCCGTCATCTACTACATCAATTGCCCAGAGGGAGTCTTCTCTTCACCGCAGGTGCGCCTCGCTGCCAATCTCGCCATTGATAACCAAGCTCTGGTGGACGAAGTCTACTTGGGCCTTGCTACGCCAGCTGCAACCGTCGTCAGTCCTCACCATCTTGGTTTCAAGGAAGCAAACCTAAGTCCCATCCCTTATGACCCCGAACGAGCCAAAGAGCTCATCAAGCACCTCGATCTGAGCAAGCCTCTTCGTCTGCGCACGCCAGAATGGATGCCTGAGCATGCTATCAAGATAACCGAGTTTGTCAAGAGATCTCTAGAGGCCATCGGGTTCAAAGTAGACGTCGAGGTCGAGACTAATCGTCCCGAGTACGCGCGGTCGATAGGGCTCCGGAAGAACATTGGCGACCTTGCTTGCTTCGACTCGACGCCGAACACGACCTTTCGAGTGTTAGACGACAAGGTATCGAGCGAATCGCACGGCACGTGGTGGCTGGGGTACCATGATGATGAGTTTCAGAGGTTGTTTGCAAAGGCGAGGATAGCGGCAAAGGGAGATGACAGGAATAAGGCGTATGCGGAGGCTCTGAAGAGAGTGCATGAAAATCCGCCATGGTTGTATATCGCTCATCCGGATGTCATTTGGGCTACCAAGCCTGGGGTCAAGCTTAGCATTGGTCCATCGGGGGTACTGGAGCTTGGCAAGTAAGTGCTTATATTAAGCTGGTCATATTTCGCAGCAGCCATTCCGCTGGGGACAAGCGGAAGTGATGAGGGTGTCTTTTAGTGGTCTGGTGCATTTTTGTAAAAAGGCTATAGACTTAACAAAATAATGCAATATGAATAATATGATAAAGGTACTCGACTTTTGTCTCTGATTACCGCTTGTAACTACCGCTCTTACAACCACTCTAACAACGCACGTTCATGTAGTCCGCGGAAAGAACGCCCTCCTATGACAGAAACGGTTACCTTGCCCAGAAATGCATTTGTAATCTCCGATTATGAATCTGCCAAAGTGGAGTTCGATCGCGGAGACCTGCGATTTTGATGCACCTTTTGGGTTAATCACATTCTGGGGTGCGATACCCGGCGTCGGGTCGCGTAGCCGACATCAGTCATTTTTTTCAGGCTCAACATCAATTCGTTTTTGGCAACATCAGGTTATATCGTCAAGATTCTCTACATTGAGAGCTACACTGTAGCTGTTGATGTAGTAAAGGCAAGTAACGATGTCTTCACCGGAAAAGACTGCCGAAGCGGCGGCTAGTGAGCCACAGACCGCCACAACGAATGCGCCCTCTGTCGAGGACAACGAATCAGCGGTTGTAGACATTGAGAAGAGTTTCGCAGCTTGGATATGTGTCTTTGGCAGCTTTTTGTTCCTGATGCCCACATATGGTAAGTACAACGCCACTTCGGCCCTATCACCCGTCGTTGACGTCGCCCAGGCATGATGCAGTCTGTCGGAACGTTCCAATCTTACCTAGAGCTAAATCAGCTTTCCGATTATTCAGCTGGTGATATTGGCTGGATCCCTGGCATGTATATGTTTGTGTCAATGCTTGTCGCCATTCAAGTCGGTTCGTTCCTTGACCAGCGCGGTCCTTTTGCTATGAGTATTGTTGGGGGAGGCGGCATCGTCATCATGTTTGTTCTGCTGGCTGAGTGCAGTCAATACTGGCACTTCATGCTCTGTTTTGGAATCTTTGGTGGACTATCGACTGCTATTGCTGGAACTATCCCCGTAGCAGTGGTCGCGAAACTCTTTTCTCGAAAACGTGGCTTCGCTATCGGAATAGCCCTCACCGGCTCATCGACAGGAACAGTGATCTTTCCGATCATGCTTCGATCACTGCTCCCAAAGTTGGGTTGGAGCTGGTCGATGAGAGTGCTGGCCTTTGTCATCCTTGGCATCTTCACACTCGGAACAATCTGCTTCATTCCTTACCGTCGACTTGTCAAGCTCGTCAACATGCCGATAGCGAAGAAAGGCGGCCTCTCTCTTCTCAACTTCTCTGCCTTCCGTTCTGTGGCTTTCACGCTGGTCTGTGTTATGTTCTTTGCAACCCAGTTTGTTCTTTATGGAATTGGTGGCCTGTTGCCGACTTTTGCGATCCAGGCTGGCTTGACAGCCGAAACTGGCTACACTCTGGTTTCAATCATCGGCGGTGCTTCGGCTTTCGGTCGTGTTATTCCCGGCTTGGTTGGTGATAAGCTAGGCCATTATAATGTTTTGATATTTATGATGGCTTTGACATTGGTCTTCATGGGGACACTATTTGTCCCCTTTGGCGACAATAGTGTCGTGTTGTACGTCTTTACAGGCATCTGGGGTTTTTGTTCTGGAGGTTTCTTATCTATAACACCAGGTAAGATTCATTTGAATCATTTCCAATGATAAAAACATCACTAACAGTTTTAGTCTGTGTCGGCAAGACATGTGAACCAAAAGATTACGGACGATATTACGGTATGACCCTCAGCTTCCTCGAGATATCACTTCGCTAATTAGCTCAGGGACCATGAATTTCGTCATTAGCTTCTCTCTACTCATCGCAATCCCAAGTAGCGGCACAATGATAGAGAAGATGGGAACTCAAGCTCTCAGCGGCTTCCTTATGGGAGTTCTAGCTCTAGGCCTGGGTTGCTTGTTTGCATCACGCGCCGTCCTAGCAGGAAACTGGTTTGGGATCAAGACCAAAATTTGAAAAGGTTATGGGGATTTATCAGGGGAAAAAGACGGGTTTAGACATTAAAATGGCGTATGAATAGACTATAAGCTTGAGTTCCAACATCATGACTCTTGACTCACCTCTTCGGTAGTATACGACGGACGAGGACGTCTAATTCTCCCGAAATTTGATGTTATTTTCTTTCGCATCGGTAGTCCTTGTAACCGAGGTTCAAAGGCGATACTATGGTGAGCCTCAACCTCTTCCGACACATTCCGATCCGTCTTCCCTCCATTCAGCCTGAGGAGCATCAGCTCAGGCCGATGCTTTCTAACATCAAAAGAATCACTCGTATCCTGTGGCTCTGCAGATTTGTTCTCATCGGAGAATGCATCGACAGGAAAAAGCCAAAATCCAAAAGCCGGCCTCACAGCCTTGCTGAGATCTTCATCTCGAATTTCTGGGGTTTCCGAAGCTGCAACACTCTCTATTTCTTGTTCATAGGAAGGCCTCCTACTGTCAGGCTTTGCTGTCCATCTACTTTCTTCCCGCTGCAACCAATCCTCAGCATCCCTGAGCTTACATATGTTGTAACCAGGACGGAAAGCGAGCAACAGACGGTATCGTTCTTCACATGGTTTTACTCCTATCCTTTCGAGAACTTGAAGCCATGAATCATATAAACGCTTTGGATCGTGGACGTGAAGATGGCTTAGATAGTTTTCGATAGTACGAGGATCAGGCCCAATACGATCGAAGCTGTGCGGTGTAGCATGAATGGGAAATGATCTGTCGAGGAACCTCTTGTGGATTGTTGGCCATCCAGTTTCATCGCCAATCATCTGACGAGTGCATTCCTGGATAGAGACCAACCAAACTTCATTGAGCTCACTGATAATTTCCTTGAAGGTTCTCACTTTTGCGGATGTAATTTCTGATGGCCCTATTGCGTCAAGACCGGTTGGACGTCCTCCCAGCTGATCGCGGCCGAGGGCAAGGTTTCTGAGTCCGATATTACGCGGATCATACTTTGTCTTCAAGTCGCAGACAAAGTCAATTATAGCCTTCGTGTCTTGCTTTATATGGAAAAAATCATATTCAGGATTATAATGGACCGTTCCGGAAGTCCAGGGGGTGAGGCGATGTTTGGATTCTCCGACCGTCAACCAACAGGGGAGATGAACCCTATGAAACGACAGCGCTACCTGTCTGGATTCTGCATTGACTCTGAGAAGCTTGCTGAGGAGTTGGCGGCCGTTAACAGCCAGATAGTAGGGTAGATCATCCTCCCCGGGTTTTAGCGAAGGAGAGTGAATGCCCTTCCTAGTACGATTTACACAGAAGCTGGCGTGCGACCTGAGGAAGATTTTGATGATTCTTTGATTTCGTAGAGACCATGTCCATATTGAGGCTCGTATCTCTGCTGGGAGTGATGAGAACTGCGTGAACGAGGGCAGGCTCACAACGTCAGTCCCAGGGTTGAAAATGTCTAAATGACTCTGAGACATTTGTATGATACGTGCAAGATATTACTTCTCGAAAGGAACGACGTATTGGAAGATGTTGGCAGTGGAGTATGTTGAAAAATCGTAAGATTGCTGACAGTCATTCATGCTGACGGCCGGACAAGGGCTCCGCGGAAAGACGTTCGGCCGTGGCGCAGCCAAGCACGGATGACACCAGGATTACGGTTTTGGCAGCTGTTAAGCGTTGTCTGCCAATCACAATTATGCTCCTGTTCATTGGTCTGGAGTAGCTAGTCCAAAGCATGCACGGAGTCGGCAGGGGCAGGTGACCAGCGTTGAATCGAAGGTGGCAGATGTAGACATGATGGATCAAGTTGATCAACGGCTTAAAAATCAGAAACTCGATGTATAATCTATCATAACATGGTATAAAACATTTCGCTACGTCAGAGATAATCACGACCCAAAGCACCCCAGCCTCTAGCCCTCCCCCTCACAAGCCCCATATCATCCATGTTGAGGATTCCGATGCCGTTGTCTATCAACACCCTCCAGGCAATATCCCTCACATTCGGTGGTTTTGAAGGAGTATCCCAGTACCTTGCCAATAGGCCACGAGCCTTGGCTTGCTCAATCTGCGTTAACGCCATGTCAAGTTCTCTTGATGGCGGGGTTTCCAGTATGCGCTGGAAGTTTGACCTGTACAGAATAGCGTTCTCGAATCTCGTTGAGGCAAAGTATGAGTTGGAGCGGTTGAATTTGTATGTGGGAGGGTTTGTTGAGAAGTCATCGTCCATTGAGACGAGACGCTCGAGCTTGGCGTCCCAGAAAATGTCTCGATGTGTAGAGTTCATGGCTAGAACGGACTCGAAGGGGGTGTTTCCAGTTCCGACTACAGTGAGAGGTCGGATGATTCTCTCTGTGCCGTTCCAATATGTCAAGTAGCCGAGGTCTCTTAGAGGCTGGAGCTGGGCGTTTAACACATCGAATGTTTCCGGGCCAGTTGTTTTGAGATCAACGAGGAGCGTGACGGTTTGTTTGGGTGCCATGTCGAAAAAGCCCTGCCAGTCATCATTCTTCACTCCCGCGTTCCGCGCTTCCAACATGCGCTGGAGGGGCTTCAGGTACAATCCCTGTAACGTTCGGTGGGGATTCATGTTCAATCGCGAGTGCGCAACAAAAAGGTTGTCATGTCGTAGATGAACATCAGCTTCGATGCTGATACACCCAGAGCCGAGGGCTTCAAACAATGGGATATGCCGTGTGTAGTCATTATGCGAGTGGATCGGTACAGGACGAGCGCTTCGGAGGAATGATTGATGGTTATCGTCCCAGATTTCAGGACTGTCGTGACTGAGGTGACCGAATCGTAAATCGTAGGGATCGTTTGGTATACGGACCATTCCCGTACCGAGGCGGGTGATGTAGATTAACTGACTGATCGACCTGCAGACCCATGAGCAAGGACCCTGAAAATGTTCGCGAATAACTTACAGTATGAGCAACAAACCCGTAGCGTACTTGAGCCAATTGGTCCTCATGTGTCGCACAAAAATGACCCTGGGAGGATGTCTCCTCACGATAATCTCCTCCGACGAACTCGCATCATTGTAAGTAAGCCTCGACTCCATGATATCCCTCGTACGTAGTGTCTACAGTTCTCAAATCCGAGGAACGAAAAAGAGGGGTCCAACGGGGTAATAATTATAACCACCACCATCTCAACAACGCTACCGAGTTTCAAGGGATTTCCGAAGTGGTTAGGCACCTTTTTCGGGTGCTACCCGACGAGGTTAGTTTCGGTGGAGAAGTATACGCTTCCACCAATGGAAGCGATCGAGAACATGGTCGAGACACGTTCTGGACCTAAGGATCTTACAACGCCGCGGGTTTTTTCATGTCACGATAGTGCCATTTTGGCGCTACGGTTATACGACTGCGCCTTTTGAGAAGCGTAAGCACGGCACGGTTTATGTGATGGGATAGGGGGCATGGAGGTGGCTTTTTTGGCGTTGGTGATTATTGAGTTTGCAGGACGCGTCAACGGTGCTGGAAGGATTCGAGGCAACAGAATAACATCAGGGAGTTTTTTGAAAAGGTACTTGAGCCTCAGCTGAGACAACGCGGTTTAAACGAGTATTTTCGGAGGTTTCTGTTTCAAGCTGCTCACACTAGGTACGTTAGAATCATGTTTGTTGGTGCAGCTCCCGGGAATGCGGCACAACGCCCTCGACGTTGGAACTTTGACCTCCGACTCGGACCCGGAGCGTCAGTTCACCGTCGGCAATTGGGCTTGTACGTCATCTCTTTGAGTATATTTGACGTTTAACTTTAAGTAACAAAGTCACAAAGTTTCTCTCGTCGACGTGGAAGAAGAAATGATTCTTCTCCTTCGTCTGGATATCCCTGCAAGGCTGTGCTCGTAAGTCGGTAAGTTCACCAAGTGGGGCGACCCATGTAGCACATCATGGCTGTCACGTCCTTCGATTTATTTATACGAAAGCTTATTAGAGATTGGTCCGCCCGCGGAATGCGTGGTGTCAATCAATGGAAGAAAGGATGTCTGGAAACAGTAACAACGCTGCGCGGCTACGTCATCCTTGATATGCAACGTTGTGATGTAATTTTACGCGTCTCTCACTCTCGCTCTTTCATTTCCTGTTTCATTCTCGTTCACTTGAGCCGCTGATGCAGGTCGTAAGTCATACCAGCTCAGCTCTCTAAAGCGGTTGCTTTGAAACTACAAATTAGAGAATAATCCCAAGACATCTAAGCAGAGCAATGTTTATCACCTTCATGGGAAAGGGTTTTACGTTCTGTGATGAGGTAATACGGCTATGGGGTTAAAAAAGCTTCAACCCTAACACAAAAATAAAGAATACAAATGAACGCATGTAGGCAATATACTCTTTACTGTCACTCATGCTTAAAATGTAGCTTGGTTTTTACGTCCTTCGTAGTAGGTACAAGCTTTCAGCCACAAGCCTCAAAAGAAAGGCTTACCAGTCTCTTGAACGGCTTGTCAGCAACACGACTACTGACGTTAGAAACAACAGGCTAGAGATAAAAGAAGATGAAAAAGAAAGTAATCTATTCAAAAACCTCAAAGAAGGTTATTCAGCTAAATATTCCGAAAACACTGAATTAATTACAAGTCGAGTATTGTGTTGAGTTTACTGCATCAGATCAATGCTGATGTTGACCCACGAGCCAAGCATGCAGCTTTAACTTACCCTATAGAGCTGTCTTTGCCGCGGAGTCAGGGGCAAAGGCCATGTTCTAGACCGCACGGAAGATAATTTCTCCAGCTCTTGCGTGATAGTCTAGAACAGCGAAAAATATCTCAGGCGTTGAACGGACTCATGCAGAGCGTTGAGCTAAAGAGTCATGGTCTGATCACCTGCCATTTTCTGTCACGAGTAAGTCGAATCGAACCCCATCTATCATCTGGAGTACCCCGGACCCCATGCAGGACCTCGGCTTGTTATCTTATCTGATCGGATCAGGAATAATAAAGATGCGAAAAGTCCGTCGGAGCTTATGCCGTCTTTGGCGTCATTGTTGACCATCTTTTGGAGACAAGATAGCGGCACAGTTCAAGCACAGGAGTGTCGGAAACTGTAAAAAAAAACTGTTACAAAGGAATCTTATGTACTTCAGACTACCAAAGTATAATATTGCACATTATCATGACTTCTTTCATCATGTATCAGCGACCGAAATACCGAGGCACCCTCTAATAGCGTCGTCGTCATGATCCACTTTTTAAAAGAGCCGAGGTATCCAAGTCTTAGCCTCATCGATTTTCCGACATCGCTTGGACCGAGCGACGCCCCATAAAGTTCAAACTCCCCTTAATCTAAACATTCCATCATCAACCTTTCTCCTCTCCTCAACAAAATCCGGGGTAAAGCACATCCAAAAAACCTCTCCAACAATGCCTCCGCCAAATCCAGACTGGGTCAAGGCCCTCAAGCCCTCCGGCCCCCAGGGTTCAGAGCTTCTGGCCCAAGAACGCGCCAACTCTGACATCAACGTTGACCAGCTCTCTACTTTCCTCTTCACAAAAGAAGTCCTTGAGAGAAATGACAAGATTCTCAAGATTCTGCAGGCTGATCCTGTTTTTGACAAGGAGCAGAACTACTTCAGGGGTCGAACAGATAGACTTGAGGCTGCGCTTGCTAGAGCTAAGGCTTTGAGACGGTTATCTGTCAAGCATAACTGGAATGATGAGGAGCATCACGCTGCCAATGACCTGATCAGCGAGCCTACGCCTTATGGTCTTCATGCCACTATGTTCTTGAAGACGCTTGAGGAGCAGGGTACACCGGCGCAGCACAAGCTTTTCCTTGAGAGGGCGAGAAACTATGAGATCATTGGATGCTATGCTCAGACTGAATTGGGCCACGGTTCCAACGTTCGCGGTCTGGAGACTACTGCTACCTGGAACCCTGAGGACAAGACCTTTACTATTCACTCGCCTCATCTCACAGCTTCAAAGTGGTGGATCGGTTCCCTAGGCAAGGCTGCCAACCACGCTGTCGTCGTTGCACAGCTTATCCTCAACGGCAAGCCCTACGGTCCTCATCCTTTCGTCGTTCCTATTCGCGACATGAAGACCCATGAGCCTCTTCCTGATATCCACGTTGGAGATATCGGCCCCAAGTTCGGTTACAACACCATGGATAACGGCTTCCTGCTCTTCAACAACGTCAAGATTCCTCACGTCAACATGCTGAACCGCTTCTCTGGCGTTGATCCCGAGACCGGAAAGTACATCCGTCCTTCGAACCCAGCCCTTATCTACGGAACCTTGACATTCATCCGATCATCCATCGTCTTCCAGTCTGGATCCGTTCTTGCTCGTGGTGTCACCATCGCTACACGATACTGCGCTGTTCGCCGACAGTTCCAGGACCGTGATGCTGATGCTAGCGAGACTGGTGAGAACCAGGTCCTCAACTACACAATGGTTCAGCACCGTCTTCTCCCTCTTCTCGCTTCTTCATACGCGCTTTTCTTCACTGGTCGCGCTATGATCAACCTCTACAACGCCAACCAGAAGCGCATGGCTCAACGTCGCGATGCTGGCGACGCCAAGCGCAAGCCTGGTCCTGAGGAGCTCAGCCCCGGCAGTGATCACCTTGCCGATCTGCACGCTATCTCCTGCTCCCTCAAGGCCTTTGCCTCCACCACCGCTGCTGAAGGCCTGGAAGTCTGCCGTCGCGCTTGCGGTGGTCATGGCTACTCCGCTTTCTCTGGCATTGGCAGCTGGTACGCTGACTATCTTCCTACCGTCACATGGGAGGGTGACAACTACATGCTTACCCAGCAAGTCGCCCGATATCTCCTCAAGTCTGCCCGCGCTGTTCTCGCAGGCAAGGCTCCTGATAACGGTATCTCTCGTATCTTCAAGGAGTTCATTCGCCGACAGGACATCGGTGCTGCTTTCGACGTTCTCGACAGCGATCAAGACCTCGTTGATGCTTTCGCATGGCGTGTCTCTTTCCTGACCTTCGAGGCACTCAAGCACCGAGATGAGGAGAAGCAATCCTGGAACAGCCTCCTCATTGACTTCTGGCGTCTCTCTACCGCGTACGCTCAGTACCAAGTCGTCAAGAACTTCCACGAAGCTCTGCAAGACGAAGCCACCAAGAAGTCCCTCGACCCCAATACCCTCGCCATCATGCACAAGCTCTTTGAGCTCTTCGCTCTGCATAACCTCCAGAGCTCCGCATCCGAGTTCTTCACCAGTGCCGCTACAACTGTTCGCCAAATCCAGCTCGCCCGCACAAAGCGAACTCTCTCACTGCTCGACGAGATCCGACCTCACGCCGTCAGACTTGTTGATGCTTGGTCATTCCCTGATTGGCAACTTGACAGCGCCCTTGGTCGCTCTGACGGCAAGGTTTACGAGGACTTGTTCCATCGTGCTTCGGAGGTCAACCCTGTTAACGACATTGTGTTCGATCCTTATCCTGAGTCAGATGTGCTGTTCCGTAAGAACGGCAGTGGTCCTAAGGCGAAGTTGTAAGAGAGAGCGCTTGATACCTGTACTCTAAAATAGTGTCATATAGTCTTTTTTATTGTTATTTATAGATAGAGCAATATTAGCCTGCTTATACTTACTTTCGATCCCTGTTAGTATGTGACGATCCTGCCTGAGTCGTGTAATATTGGTCTTGGCGATGATCTCCGTGGACATCTCCGTAGGGATGAGCAGCTGTCAGCTTGCTATCCGCGGAGCTGAGCTTCTGCACGGCCTTGATATATCGACGAATCAAATGTACAATGTATTTGCTATACTGGGACTCAAGACTTGTATAAATGCCTTTCGAGTCTATCGCTACGATTCGAAACCACAGAGTTTAACACAAACTCTTCACAATCTTTCGCCTTTCTCATTGTATCCAACATGCGTCGAAACATTTTCTCCATCGCTGCTACGGCGATACTGTCTCTGCAAGGTAAGGCTCAGTGTTCATTTTATCTCGAGAACCCCGATACTAACAGAGTACAGCCCAGAGCAGCCCCCCTATTACCATGACTGAGCCCGAAATCATGGAATTCCTCGAAGAAATTGCCGATGGCTTCCGGATTTGGCCCGAAGCACCTCTCTACCATCGCCCCGACGAGCTGAATCTCAAGTACGAAACCGTCACGTTTCCATCCGAGGACGGTGTGCCTCTTGAAGGATGGTTCTTCCCATGCAATGGATCGGACAAGATTATAATCATGAACCATCCTAGGCTATTTAACAGGGCCGGTCTTCCATCTCATATTGAACCATGGAACACGTTGACTGCTCCCTTGGGTAACAACTTCGACGTTAACTTCATCCCCGACTACAAGATTCTTCATGACGCTGGGTATAACGTGCTTACTCATGACTTCCGAAACTATGGCATGAGTGGTAGGGGCAACAACGTGCTTTACTCTGGTGGACGCTATGAATCTTACGATGTCATCGGTGCTCTTCGCTATATCCGCAAACGCAAGGACACCAAGGACATGACCATCGGCCTATTCCCCCGATGCATGGGTGGTAGCGCTACTTTCTTCGCCATGGGCACACACCCTGAAGAATTTAAAGACATCCGGACCATTGTCTTTCCCCAGCCGATCTCAGCCAATATGAGCAGCAAAGTTACCCTTCAAACAGCTGGTATCGACCTTGACTATCTCGGAGAACTTGACGATATGGTCTACTGGCGCACTTCCCTTCACCTCGAAGAATACTCTCCTATTCCTTGGGCTAGGAACGTCAACATCCCGACGTACATGTTCCAGGTTCGCAATGATCTTGCTACTCACTGGTCTGATGTTCAGGATGTCTTCGATGCTATTCCTGCTGAGGATAAGGAGCTTTTCTGGATTAATGGAACGACTCGAAGATGGGACGGATACTTGCACTTTCAGCGTCACCCTGATGCGATTCTCAAATGGCTTGAGCGGTGGATGAACTAAGTTCTGGATGGTTCTAACTTTGAACTTGAAATCATTTCTGCATCATTTCTCTATTACTCCGGTATTTAATCCTTGTATAGATAGCCAAATATACATATTGTCCAAAGCTCATAGTGTTGAGGAAGAGCCTTGAAATTCCATAGGAGTTGCTCTATTAGTGAGAGCGATGACTATGCTGCGTTCTGCGTCCAGCGTCTTTGAAACTCGAGACTTGTTTATGGCTTCGTTACCGATTTACTCAATTTAATAGCTATTCCTTATCAAGCTTAGACTCGGCTAGCACGGGATGAAATGACAAATTTGACTGGTTCGTTTGGACGTATTACGGTGTTACCGCATTTATCAGCAGAAATGCTACTAATTATAGCACGGGCGAGCTCCAGGCAACTATCCTCCCAACTTCTTTTATGCAACGTCATCTCTCAATTTCCTTCACAAATTATCTTCAACTTTACATTCAGAATCAAATACAACATAATGGCCAATGAAATGCAGCCCGAGATTATCTTGTACGATCTTGCATGTATCAAGAACACATGCTTCTCTCCCGTCGTTTGGAAGATCCGCTTGATGCTCAACTACAAGGGCATTCCTTATAAGACCATATTCCTTGAGTTCTCTGATATTGAGCCAACGCTAAAGGAACTGTGAGTTATCCGATCTCTTACTCAGTATCCTCTTCACTTCTATTGGTACGACAAGTCGACTAACACGAGAACCAGAGGCCTGGACTCCCATGATTCCAGCTCAGGCTCTCCCGGTTACACAGTCCCAACAATCCACCATGTCCCCACCGGCAAATACATCATGGACTCATCCGCCATCGCCGATTTCCTCGAATCAACTTACCCTAACCCTCCGCTCCCTCTGACTTCTGAGCTCGGTCGCGAGATTGAAGCCAAAGCTCGCGGTGCGGTCGGTCCTGCATTCCGCATCTCCGTCACACCACGAGAGAACCTCATCCTCTCACCACGAGCTCAAGAGTATTTTCGCGCCAAGAATGAAGTTCGAATGGGATGTAAGCTGGAAGATTTGATGGACCCAGAGAAAGAGGAGAAGACTTGGCAAGGTGTCGCGGATAAGATGAACGAGCTGAGTGATTTGATGTTGACGAACAGGGACAAAGGGCCATTCTTGTTGGGTGAGAAGCCGAGTTACACTGACTTCTTCATCGCTGCTTCACTCCAATCAGCAAGGACTATTGATGATGGGATCTTCCAGCGTTGTGCTGTGTATCCTGGTTTCAAAGCTATTTACGAGGCTTGCGTTCCTTGGATGGAGAAGAAGGACTAAGCTGAGGAGCAGTTGTAGTCTTACTTGACCCTCACTGCATGAAACAGTCCCTAGCTTTCAAAATTTCTCCGCAAGAGAATCCTCTCATGCGAAATAAATATAGTGTGGAATTAGCACCTCCTATTCAGTCTACTTGAACAGGTGCTTGTTCACCGGCGTAATAGCATCCTTCCCCTCCAACACAGCCATAACATTCTCCATAGCCAATCTCTCAAACCCAATCGACGTATCAAGTGCACCGCCAGCAGTATGGCACGTCAAAGTTGCATTCCTCATCTTCTGCAACCTCGGATTCGGTCTCGGCTCATCCTCAAAAACGTCCAAGCCCACTGCAAACAAGTGTCCAGAATCCATGGCGTCAGCCACAGCTTCTTCGTCTACCAAACTCCCGCGTGCAACGTTAACAAGTCGTGATCCTTTCTTCATCTTAGATATCTCCTCCCGGCCGAGGATCTTGTTTCCACCTGCACCGGGGGCAGCTATGACGATACAGTCGGCGATGGCGAGCATGTCTTCCAGCTTGGGGTAGTTTGTTGCTTCGATAGCTGCTTCTTGCTCTGGCGGTTTGGGGAAGGGGTCGTAATATGCAATGCGCATACCAAGAGCCTTATGAGTCTTGAGAGCAATCTGGTATCCAATGTTGCCAAGACCAATTATCCCCAGAGTGTGGCCGCGAGGGTTGAATGCTGTGAGTTGCGTATGAGCATGTGCATCTCGAAACTCCTCTTCACTGCCTCTCGCAGCCATATTACTCCACTGCATATTCCTAAACACAGAAATGATATGGTAAAGCGCCATGTCAGAAACAGCCTCAGTCGAAGCAGCTGCTCCATTACAATAAAGGATACGGCTTTCGGCCATGATGTCAACGTCAGCCCAGTCATATCCAGCACCAGCTGATGCGTAAACCTTCATGGACTTGGGCAAGAGTGGAATTAGCTCGTTGTCCCAGCGTCCCATTTCACCGCCTGTGATCCAAAAGGGTCGCATGACAGCCTGAAAATCGCCCCATTTCTTCTGGCGAAGAGCTTCGAGGAAAGCACCGCGTTGGCGTTCTTCCGCCGAGGGGCGGATGATGGTGAATTTTGACTCAAGCTTCTTGTAGAGATCGTGGTTGTACTTGATTGGGTCTCCAATATGGAGGACTATGGGCTTTTCGGCTGAAGGCATAATGAGATCTGAAGAGACAATGTCTGAAGGTTGGGATATGGTTCTCAAGAGATCCCCCAGCACTTTTGTCAAAGCAGGTATATAAATGATACCAACACAAGAACAGAATCAATAATCTGGGGTCACTATCGATCTTCGCTCTGAGCTCTCCATATTCCCCGCGTCTTCCTTCCAGTATCCCCTCCCATGCAGGTCGGATGTCGCCATTACTACATGACCATCACCAATACAACTCGCTCATCTCCTCGGCTCGGCTACACACAACAAACGTCCCTCCTAGCGCATCTCACTCATCGGATAACGGCTCGGAATGTTCTTGGATTGGTTCAAGTTGAAGATCTACATGATTCATGGGGTTACGTTGCAAGGTTTATTTCCCCGCTCGTCTTGGTTTCCCCGGACTATCTCCCCCGTACCCCAGGTTCTGGTCGTAGAATTCTCGGCAAGAAATGCGATGCTTGGTCTGGGCAGGCTGATGGGGTTAATAAATACGCCTGAAAAGATCTCTCAATTTCGTTGTTGATTAGTGTAGTTTTGTGATCAATTTATTAACAGAACTGTCTGTCATCATGGCTGATGTCAAAGAGACAAGCGAGGAACTCCATTTGGAGACTCTCGGTGGAGAAACAGCCAATATCGAGAATCGCGATATCAAAGAAAATGCCCTCGTTCGAAGAATCGATAAGCGAATGATGCCACTAATGATGCTTCTCTGTAAGTGCTCGCTGCATTTATCATACCAGCAAAGACTAATACCTCGCTATGAAAGACATCCTCAACTATCTCGACCGCAACAACATTGCTACCGCCCGTCTCGGTAATTTCGAAGAAGACATCGGTCTTGTGGCCGAGCAGTACAACACCGTCATCAGCATCTTTTTTGTGGGTTACATCCTGACTCAGGTACCCACTAACATGATCCTAAACAAGATGCGACCGTCGATCTTTTTGGTATGTTTCCGAGTCAAGTGTTTGGTAGGCACGTTATTTCACAATGCTAACTTGGATTGGTAGCCTTGTATCATGGTCTGCTGGGCCACTGTTAGTGCTTGCACCGGTGCTGTGCAAAGTTATCATGGAATGATAGCTTTGAGATTCATCCTTGGATTTGTAGAAGCACCGTTCTTTCGTAAGTTACTCACTCTTTTCGATGATGAGAATTTGTCTGACTGGAATAGCTGGTGCTTTGTTCTTGTTTAGTTCATGGTATACCAAGAAAGAACTCGCAGTTCGTATCTCGGTTCTGTATGCAGCTGGTCAGATGGCTGGTGCATTTGGCGGTCTTCTCGGAAGTGCCATCATGGCTGGCATGGATGGTAAGGCCGGCTTAGCCAACTGGCGATGGCTCTGTATGTCCCCCTCTCCAGTGTTCTATAACTCGACTAAGTTCCGTCTAGTCATCATCGAAGGGTGTGCCACTTATCCCGCAGCCATCGTGACATACTTTGTCGTCCCAGACTACCCAGCAACAACAGCCTGGCTCAGCGATGAAGAGCGCCGCATCGCAGTTCTTCGTATGGCCGAAGATGCCAGCAAGGAAGATGACAGAGCTGATGTATCAGCTTGGGAGGGTGCTAAAATGGCCTTCACTGATCCAGCGCTTTACATGATCTGGATCATGCAGCTTGGTCTCAACACAGCAGCAGCCTTTACCAACTTCTTTCCTACTATTGTCAAGACGCTGGGTTATAGCTCGACTATCACTCTTCTGCTCTCTGCGCCGCCTTATGTGTTTGCTGCAGCACTGGGTATCACGAACTCTTGGCATAGCGATCGTGTGAACGAGCGATGGCTGCATGTTGTTTGGCCGCAGATATTTTGTAGCGTTGGGTTCATCATCTCAGCCGTGACTCTCAACACGGCTGCTCGATACATCTCGACCTTCATGATGATGTCAGTCTACGGATCCTTTGGTTGCATCTTGTCTTGGGTATCTTCGTCTTTACCACGTCCATCGACAAAGCGCGCCATCTCATACGCCGTGGTTAACGCTGGATCCAATCTCGCGTCTATCTACGCATCTTACTTCTACCCTTCCTCTCAAGGTCCGCGATATTGGCAAGCAAACGTCGCAAACGTAGCGTTCAGTGGTCTTTGCATTGCTATGGCGACTATTCTGAGATTCTTCCTTGCTCGGAGGAACAAGAAGTTGGAGAAGGCGAGGGAGCATGATATTCAGCATGAGGGCACTTTGAGTGGCAGTGAAACAAGGCTGCTTGCTGAGAAGTGGCAGTGCGGAACTGAGTATGTATTTACACTGTAGATGGGCTGACGTTGAGTGAGTATGAAAATCTCGCATTCTGTCGCGAGAGACGTTTGATATGATTATAACAATGACAGTCATTGGGCGTTATTATGTTGGAAACCCGATTGCGTGATGAAAGCCCAAGTGGAAAGTGGTACGATTGACTCGTGACGCTGCCAAGAGAGCTGCGACGCTCTTTGTACTGATAATGGGCTGACTGAAGCATAACAAGGAATTCTCTAGAGCCAACGGAATGAAGCTGAAGATCACTTCATGCCCCAACAGTTAAAATGGCAGTCTGTTGTTTTGCGACTCATTGTTTCTGAGGCGGATATTCCGTCAGCTCAGGTGTCCGCCTCACGATTGCCCCAAGTGGTTCAACCTCCGTCATGCCTAGACCTCGTAGCCATCACGAACCAATCACGGCGCCTGCCCTATCATTCAACTTCTCAAACAAGAACGAACCCCCACAAGTTGAGATAAGGCTAAGAAATAGTATTTATCGGGTATCTGTCTCTTGATCTGGGGATGGGTAGTGCCGTGCTTAGCTATTTCTCCCCGCAATGTTGTTGCGGGGTGCATATCAAGAGTAAGTTCAAAGGCTTCCGCCCGGAAAGCTCCAGTTTCCAGTGCCGAAATGTTGGCGAATAGACCATATTTGTTGTCGCACATGCTTCAGGATTGAGTGTTCAAACGTCAGACCCGGTGAAACAAGTATTACAACTATGACATGATGGTTGGCGTTGCCTCGAACGAGAGATGATCTGAACTCTTCTTAGCAGTGAGTGTTGCAGCGTACGTTAATGCCTCGGCTGTTCCCAGTATTACTTTTACTGCTGACATGTCAAGCGCTGACGAGCGACAAACGCGCTGTACGATGAGAGTAAAACCAGGCATAGGTTGTACTGCATGCCGAGTGTCGTAGGTTGCATTCTTTCCGAAAACCCATCGACTCATCAGATCACAAAAGATCCCTGTATCTCGGCGCCCAAATCTCGATAGCCATTTGCTTTTTCCCTTTCAATACCAAGAGACATCATCTCATATTTATACCTGATACCAACAATTCCTCTCATACGATTAGCATCAAAACATGACCATCAGACGTTGTTTAACCTTGTCGATTAAGCTTAAAATGTTTAAATGACACGGCTAAGGCGGAATTGCCAGACTTGGCGCACTATACGCTATGAGGCGATCGCTGTGGGGAGGAGGAGAGGCCGCCAGCGCCTCGTCACCCTAGAGGGCCAATACTTGGCCTGGACAGACACCGCTATGATCTCATGTTGCTTGGCTTGGCATCGGCTCATGATCAAAATTCACTTTGCGTGTGACGTTGCGTGGCTCTAACCTCAGAAGCCCACTTCTGGGGTTTTTTTTTACTGCCGGGCGGCGGGTGAAAAATTTATACCGACTATGAAAGCTGGCTGATCCTCAAGCCTTTCACTGCCTTGACTTTTGGTGTTTCTTCATTCCAACCGAACTTGAACTCAACAACTACTCTTATTATTCTTTGTATTGATCAACGTATCAGTTATGGGCGTCCGTATCGCTACACAACAAGACGTCCCCGCGTTGAAGGATATCATCCTCAGCGGGTTGTCAAATGATTCTGTCTGGCTGTACTGCTACCCCTCAGCAGGCCGTTCAGAAGCCGCCTCAAATCATGTCGAGACGGTTCTGAAGAGGATCATTGACGACAACAGCAAGAATTGGCATTGCTACGTAGTCGATGCCCCCAAGACTCACGACCCTGTCTCCCTTGCAATTATCCAGTCGCTTCACCAGAACGAGGACGATGGAAAGGGCGTCACTGAACAGATTCAGCGAGGTCAGTGAAGGCACCCACTTTTTTCTCCTCGTTTTAGTGCTACGAATTTCGCTAACCTTATTTCTACAGTGTTTGGTCTGTCGGATGACCCCAGCAACGGCGAGAGTAAGACGGCAAAGAGAATTGCCGCACTGCAATCAGGCATCACGCAGACTCAGCAGACGTACCTCGCCCGCTACGACCAAGTTATGTTCCTCCATGCCGTCATCACGCATCCCCACCACAAGCGCCAAGGGTACGCCAAGACGCTCTCCAAGCAAACCCTGCAGGTAGCGCGTCAGAAGGGCGCCGTCGTAGCAGCCCTCGCCAGCCCCTTCAGCGGCTACGTCTTCTACTCGGGCACCAGCTTCTCCAACTGCGGCCGCACAAAGGTCGAGACCGACAACGACATCGAGAACCTCGAGCTGCAGATCATGGTCTGCACTCCCCCCAAGCCCCTCGAGCAGAGGAGGAGCTCCATCATGGACTTTTGGGGAGGGGCCAAGAAGGCGTCGCCTGCGGGGAGCAGACGGGAGTCGCTTGACCAGGGTGCCACTGGCGAGAGGCGGAGCTCGTTCTTGGATATGTTTAGCTTTGGTGGCCCCAAGACTCCCTCTGCTGTTGATGATGATACCCGCAGAAAGTCTCACGCCTAGATGAGGACAGGGGGATTTTTGTTTGCAGTTTTTTTTTTACATGGATGCCATAGACCAGGTCTTTTCTTATGTATTTACCAATGAGCCACGATCTCAATACGATCACAGTACCAAACCCACCATCAGTGTCAGCGAAAATACAGTGGTGGACCGTGCATAACTTTACTGATTTGCAGGGCTCAATCATGCATTTTGCGTATGCATGACAGCGCATAATCAGCAACTTTTCGCCAATTGCCGTGAAGGCTTGCGCAGCTTCATCCGCCCTGTCTGAACGACCAGCGGTTTCAGAATTTTCATCAACTGCGATCGATTTCCGCAGGCAAGCATTATTCTGCAGTGCTTTTGATTGTTACATATTTTGGCCATTGGCATTTTACTCGCAATAAAACGACTGTTTTCATCGAGCCAACTACGATCAGCTTCAGGTGACACTACTATAAATATCTGAGGAAAGAATTGGGGGGAAGGGATGGAGATAGTAGCAAGGAAGAACTCTTGCATGGGGAAGACAGCTATGCGGCATAATACCCGCAACTGTTATTGAAGAATAGAAAGGAGTAGAGAAGGGGATGAAGAGGAAAAGGAAATGTTTAACTTCCCTTGAATTCGTTATCTCTCTTCCCACGAATGTAGTGTATCATGCACCAGTCCCACAGCCGTCCAGGAAGCAAATCGATTAGACCTTTGTAAAGAAACTGATACCAATGACCGACAACAACACTCCGGCGGTTACCGGCTCTCGCAATGATTGCTTTGGCAAGCCTGCTGTCCGTTTGATCCATATGTCTCGACACCTGTACACACAAGGCTTCAACATCGTAACCCTCGAGTTTCATTTCCAGAGCCGAGGATTCGGTCATTCTAGAAAGGAATGTCCGGCTTGCTGGGGTTTCGATTTTGAGTGGGATGCCTTTGTCGCTTAGGGAGGTGATGTTCATTAAAAGAGATGGACCGTTGTCAATTAGGGTCGGAAGAAGAGTGCGAAAGAGTTGTATTGGATAGAGAGCGTCAACGTTGATGTTCTTTAGAATAGTCTTTTCATTTTCTTCGATAATTGATTCAAGGTTGGTTTCCTTGGCTTTTCCTTCTGCACAGTCGACCAAGACTGCCAAGTTCAGCTTGGACAACTCATTCTTAATCACCCCAAGGTCAAATTCACGCTCCAGCTTCCAGTCCCATAGCTTTTGCGGTACCAGAAATCTTTACTTCCAAGGACAGTTGGATCAGCGACAAGGATCTTAAACTTTGGAACAGGAAACTCCTCGTGTATCCGCACCATGGCGGTTAGTAGATCCTGTTCGTCCCGCCCATGGAGAATCACGTTAAAGCCTCTCCTTGCGAGCTCGCGAACAATCTCATATCCAATTCCGCCAGAAGCTCCCGTGACCAGGGCCCATGCAGCCGACCCATCAGAGGAAAGGTGGTTGAAGCGATGTATTCTACTGCGTCGAATGCAGTACGTTTCGAGGACGAAGGATGCGCTGAGGGCCCATCCGAGAAAGCTCGCACTGCCTAAGACGACGAGGATGGCAATGATCTCCTTTTTTACCCAGCGAATATAATGAAAACAGTCGAATGTTGCGAGCCGCGTCAAGTTGTCGGTCAGCAACTGGAAAGTCAGAGGTGGGAGACTTTGGTGCAGGCTGGATTTCATTTTATCGAGAATTCTGAGGAATTTGCTGATGTTTGGTCTACGATGGAAGGGGGAACTGTGGCCATATATATACCTGAAGGAGAATGAGGAGTTTTGCTTTGAGACCACGTATTGAGTTATGCTGCGGATTGTGTCAGAAGAGAGGAGAGCGAATAATGTGTCCCTGGACGTGTAGATCCTCCATCTGGAAGAGTCGGGAATCTTCGCAGTGACTCAAGCTTACTGCGACTGACTTCACAACCTATTTAGAAGAGCAAAAGAGCTTCGACCGAGGCGTGGAATTCTCCTATAAGTTCTTGAAGGTCTTACACCCCGCGTGGAGTCAGGTCAAGTCGACAGCAGTAGTTTCATTCACTGGTGATGTTCCTGAAGAAAGCGATCTGCCTGTCAGAGAGCCAGTATATAAGATAGCTTAAATCTTCTTGAGTATATTACTTTAGGCAGCCGTGACGTGTAAAAGAATAATGTTCGATTCTCTTTGATTCAACTCGTCGAGATTCTTATAAGTTTTGATAGAGCGACTTAACCTTGCTGGAGCCAAAACTCTGTCCCTGAGCTTTAGGGGCATAATGGAGGGATTTCAGTGGCAGCAGTGATCTGGTTAGGGCATGTCACAAAGACAAAACCATACCAAAGGCGTTATGAGTTGGAAGATTTTAGGCAAAGCATCATAAATTAGACTTGGTTACCCGAAAGCTTAGATGTAATGCGTGGTTTTGATTGACTGGTAGTCTAGAAAACTGTGTTATTTCCTCCGTATCAGGCTTATGTCGCCATATCAGTCCCCTCTTCGGCCAGCTGCACGAATGAAGGATCCAAAGGGAGAAGATCCAAGAAGCCCGTAAACATGCAATCCACACCACCAGCTATAGAGCTTGAAGCAACATCCATGGTATTGTCCCAGGGCAACGATTCAGACCTTCCTCGTGCTTGATCGGAGTTTGGAAGCTGGCTATTGGCTGCATGCGACGATGGACCATCCATTTCACGACTAAGTGGCCCACATATGTATCTTTCGATGGCATCGATAATCTTTTGTATATGCAGTATTGAATTTCTGACAGGGTCGTCATCTACCATTAACTGAAGGCACTCTATAGCGACTCCGACAATGTCCCGATGATGTGGATGTTTGGATGGATGGCCCATCGATGCGTAAAGAAGTATGGCGCAACTTGTTTCAAGAAAGAAGGCATTGTAACGCCTCATCTATCGTCGATGCTATTAGCATTGGTGGTTTACTCAACTGAAAATAGATGAAAGAATTTAAAGATAAGAAGCTGGACAAGCATGGGTGCGTAGTGCCTTTTACGTTGAGGGGTATCTTGATCATTGTGTAGGGCTCCAACCTTCTTTACTCCACGGCCTTTTAGGCGCAGGCACTTCCAATGAAGGATTTACTTACCCCTTTGGTATCTACACTTTTGAAGATCTGGTGGGTGAGCACAATCGAGTCTTCTGCGGCGTCTGTGGCACATCTACACACTTGTCGTATCCAGATCGCATTGGCTCTTTCAAACTGACCTGAAGCTCTAAGTGCCGACTCGGCGATGAGGAATGGTCGATACACAGTATGAATGAAGTGATAGTAGGCTGATTTGTTAGTCTTGAGGTCCCTCTTTGTATATCAGGATTGAATATGCATACTGTTACAGACTAAAAGCTGTGCCATTTTATCCGCCCCTGATCCTTGGCATCGAAGGGGACTAGGTCCGAACCAAAGGTCTCCACAAACATCCCAACTTCTCAGATGAAGCTTTCGTGTGTTTCCGTACATCTGGGATAGCGAGCAGTATCTTTGCCCGTTCGGACATGATGTTGCCTCTTCCTGGATAGCTGCCAGATTGCAAAGATCAACGAGCATGGGTTGATCATCTGGGTACTGGCAGGAGATATCAGACCTTTTAATGATTTCCTTTCTTCCAACGATGAAGCAGATCCATCTGCCGTCTAAGTCAGCTCTTAACTAATTGGAAGAGTAGAATGATGCTCACGTTTGCTGAAAGTACAGTGCCCAGAATGTAGTCAAGCGCAGCTGCAAGTCCTCCCCAACTGCATCAACCTCAACCTGACTATGTAGACCCATAGACATAGCTCTGGTGCAAGCCGAACAAACTTGCAAGTATGCAGCATTAGGGCGGCCCATGTTCAGGTGATATTCCGACATCAAGAGACAGAACTGAACCATTGGCAATGTTGCGACATCGCCAAACAGGACGACCTCACGCTTAGCATGTATCAAGATTGTCTCTGCCGTGTCGGTTTCAGAGGTGCTGAGTGCGCCGATGGCGAGTATCATAAGCAGTCGAGCTTTGTCTTGTGACATTGACGCATTGTCAGCTCCAGCATTGTAGAGGCTATCCAACAACATCTGATTGTTATCGACCTTTATAAACGGCAAAGCATGGGAAGAGTATTTTTCGAAAGCTTGTAAGAATTCGATGGCGGTAGACTTCAGAAGAATGTCTTCCATTCGTTGTTCTGAGGGAAGTGAGAGCGGGTCAACTCTTGATGGTAGACCAAAGAAGATAGTTCTTTTAGTAAAGGCATCTAAACTTTGAGCTTTATTTTTGAATTCAAGGATACGCCTATGAATCAGCTCATCATGTAAAGTCTGTAGAAATGCAAAAGTTGACGTCGGACCATAGACAAGCTGTTCATGAGTCCCAGACTCGCCCCCACCGTTGGAAGCTGCGATAGAGGCTGGATACATGCTATCACCTTGAGAATCCTCGGGAGTTTCAGAGTTGGAGATCTCTGTCAGTACAGGCGTTTTCGGTTTGCGAGGTCTGTTACGTGCTTTGAGCCGATAGGTACACATAGCGGGCCTACTCCGACATCCATGGCAAACCGTTGCGCCATCGCACTTGATCTTTCGCCGGCGGCATGGCTCGCATGCTTTTGAAATCATGGCTTAATGAAGATATCTCGGAGCTGGATGATGACGGAAACGGAGTAAAATCATGAGTGAGAAGGATCTCATGGTAGCTGCATGCTTACGGCACGAACACTTGGCCAAGCGGCGTAAACCCGTAAGTCCGTAACTCCAACTCCGATCAGGGAATAGATCACCCGCCAATTGTGGGCCTTCCAGGATTTCGGTAACAATGACGAACTATAAAACGAACATAGCCTGCCAGAGATTGGGCACATCATCCCATACATTTACACAACTCATAGTACCATTATCCATTGATTCATCATGCTCATTCTGATTGCAGGCATCACCGGCATGGTCGGCCAGACCCTTGCTCGCTATGCATTGGAAGAAGGCTATCAAGTCCGCGGATTGAGCAGGAACCCAGATAAACTGAATGCCGATATTGCATCAAAGCTCGAGAGCTTTGTTGCCTGCCCCGACTTCCTCGATAAGTCTTACCTTGCGAGAGCCGTCAAGGGAGTTGATGTCGTTATCGCAGCACTACCTCCAGTGCCTAGCATTATTGGAGCAGGACAACTGGCTCTCTTGCTGGAAGCCAAGAAAGCAGGTGTCAAGGTAAGCCCCGCGCCAACAAGCATTGTGTCAACACTAATGAGCTGTTCAAGGTTTTTCACGCCGCTTCTTGGAACTTTGATTGGACTAAGCTCGAGCTCGGCGATCACGAGACGTACGATGCTTATATCGCTTTCAAGCGTCTTGCCGAGCTCTCTTGCAGCTTGAAACCCATCTATGGTTTTACAGGTGCCATCTTGGATTATTCGCTCATTCATATCAAGGATGCAGGTCGACCCAGTCTGATCAACACTGAAACTCGAAGTGTTGCGTACTTCGGTACTGGAGAAGAGAAGATGTCGTTTACTACTCTTGATGACTTGGCAAAGTATACACTGGCCGCTATAAATGATCAGGATATCATTAAGCGTGGTGTTTACTATGTCGAGTCGTCTCATTGCACTATGCCGGAGCTCGCTGATATTTACGGCAAAGTGCGTGGCTATGAGATCAAGAAACAGTGCTTTGGCGGCAAGGCTGAACTTCAAGCGATGTTGCAACAGGCTAGAGAGAATATCGGCGCTTTCGAAGCCAATAAGTATATCGACTTGGCTTATGGGATGGTATTTTTGAATGGCAAGGCAGTTATTGATCCTATTGATAATGAGAGATGGGCTAGTAAGGTGACTCCTACCGGTCTGGAGCAGTGGCTCAAAGAACACCCTGAGGCCTAGTTCAAGATTGGAGTTGGTTGTAGCACAATTGTAATACCGTCCTTACAGATACTTTAATAACACCGCTAGGTCTACCGAGTAAACGGACTTGCTCCTCAACTAAATAAAATCAAGAAACTCTTACGGTTGAACCAAGTATTGCTGCTTTACTCCAGGAACATCCCTACGTCAAAAGAATAACTAGCATCCGAAATGAACGTAAGGCATCCAGTTCGTATTCCCGAGATCTGGTTGATCTTCTTCCTCACCTACAGCCGTGATGTCCCTGATGTACTTGCTCTTGGCTCGTCCCTTGTCTCTCAACTTTCTCAGTGCTCGATGTAGACCTTTGCACACAGACAGGTCGGTCATCCCTTCATCACGTAGAGTTTCATAGAATGCTTCAGCTACATCAACGCAATGCTTATCTGATACTTCCCATAGTGTTCCAATGACATGTCTGAAGCCAGTCAAGTGGAACGCACCAACGAGATGAATTCCTTCATCTGAGAGTCTTGACTCCATGTTTGTTCCGGTGCGGCAAGCGGAGAGGTATGCGAGAAATGGTTGAGTGCTTTCTAGATTCTTCACACGGATGTCCTGGACTGTGAGAGGGTTGGTCTCCCAATCTTCAAGACACAAACAGCTTTTCGACGGTTCCGCCGCGTTTAAACGTCCATGTCCGGCAAAATGAAATACATTGCAGGCCTCCAGGGATTTGAGGACTTCCTCCTTCAATGGCCTGGGCGTGCCCGGTTTGAGGTCGAGCTTTGGACACATCTGCTTCACTATGTTGACTTCATCCTCAGCATATGGCAATTTCCCACTGCCTGGTGTATTACGCATGGGAACAAGGAGTGCAGACTTTCTCTCTGGTTCACGGGCAGAAACAAGTTCCCGCTTTCGCCCATGAAATAAAGATTTGATGGTTAAGGCATATGATGATATGGCCCTATCCAAGACTGTCTCTGTAGAGCCTTGGTCGTGGCGCCCAGCAGCATGAATTGGTATACAGCTGAGGGCATCGGTTGGAATCCACCAGATATGGGGCCATTTGTTATCCAATACAGGAGATGTGAGACTAAGCGCATTTAAACAAGGATGGCCGAGTGCATCCCACAGCCATTCTAGCCGAGATGCAAGCTCAAATCTCGCTGATGGGAAACTCGCCCATGCGCGGAGCCTTCTTTGCGACAAATCAGGTAGCTCAATGATTGTGATCCCAGTACCCTCGATGATGAACGCATCACATCTATAGAAGGCGACATTAATGACGATGATCGGATCCGGAGTAGCTGCTATCATCAGTTCTGCCTCGGTAGGCGGTAGAAGAAAGGTCTCAAATCCGAATTTTCCTCGGACCTCTTGAAGAAGAACATCGAATTCCTCATCTGCTTTCCGAAATCTTTCTTGCTTCCGCTGCCAAGTCGCTAAGTCGTCTTCTTTCGTCGATACATCAATTCCGCTTTGCAGCTGACCCATTTCATCTCGGACACGATCAAACTCCTTCGCCAAACCTGGGTACTCGAGCTTAAGCTCTGAGGTATCTGTGCGAATGTCCATAACGAATCCTGAGATTAAACCTCTTCCCAGCTCCAGGAGCCTGAGGGCCTCATAGGGTCCTTTATTTGCACTCAAAGCCGCAGCAGCAGCCATTGATGTCAAGCCAGACAGACTCGAGAGCAGGCTCTGTCTGTCTGCATGTGCCAGAAACCGTGGACTCACTTTCGGGAGAAGCAACACCGCTTCACGCAGCAAGGCACTGGCCTTCACCCATTCTTCTCGCTGTATGTATACGTAAGCAGCAGAACCAGCTGCTCGTATTTTTTGAGATGGGGCTGCTGCTTTGGAGTTCCATGCCTGAAGTAACCATTGCATTTGACTGTCCCGATCGCCGGCAGATTTGGTTACCTCGAATCGCTTATCAAGCCAGTTGCCCAGATTATTTATTATGACCGAACGATCGAGATGATCTTGGGGCATTGCTTTCACTGCCTTGGTGATATTTTCGATACAGCGATCTAGATCATCCAGGGAATCAGTCCTATGGAAGCGGCTACCAAACACATTGCCCAGTGTGTTGAGGTAGGAGGAGATATCAGGATGATCTCGGGCGGTCAGATCAACTGCCTTGTTGCTAGCTTCGATAGCTCGAGCAATATCACTTTCTCTTCCAACTTTCTCGTAGCGTGTGCGAAGTGATGATCCAAGGTTATTGTAGTAGGCTGCGAGGCTGTCACGAGACAACGGAGTACCTTGGATGGCTTCGTCAATGAGGTCGATAGCACGATCAAGATGGTGTACTTCGCTTGTTCGTTCAAAGCGCAAGCTTAGCTTATTTGCCAAGCTACTTAGATACGTAGGATAATGAGGGTGGGTCTTCGTTGCGATCTTGATGGCTTTCTCTGCAGCATCAATGGCGTGTTCCAAATCTTGCGCCGCTCCTGTCCTTTGGAAACGCGCCCTCAGTTGATTCCCAAGACTGTTCAACCGGTTGGGTAGTTGTGGGTGGCCGTGAGGAGTGCTGACCACTGACTCGTGCGTTCTCTCAATGGCATGGTCCAAATCTGCAATTGAGCCCGCCCTTTCAAATCTCATGCCGTGGCAGATCCCCAAGTTGTTTAACGTAGATGCAAAGTTTGGTCCATCGCGAGGGGTTGCTCCTAGGCATTGGGTGAAGATATCCAACGCTTCATTTAGATCCTTCACTGAATCAGTTCTCTCGAATTTCCTGCTGAGGCTGGTTCCCAGGGTATTCAAGAATACGGAGCGATCAGGATGGCTTGGGGACGTGATATCTCTTGCACGAAGTGCAGCTTCAATGGAACCATCCAGATCCATGAGTTCTCCTGATGTTTCAAACCGCGCACAAAGCCATACGCCTAGGCTATTCAAGAAGCCGGGGTGTTTTCGTGATGTAGACTTCACCGCTCTTGATGACGCTTCGATTGCGCGGTTAATGTCGTCAACTGTGCTTGTTCGTTGGAAACGCTTCCCATGACTGTTGGCAAGGTTATTCAGATATCCAGCGTAGTGCTGGTGACTCTCAGGTGTCAATTTTACGGCTTTCTTTGCGGCCTCGACGGCATAGTCCAGGTCTTCAACCATATCTGTCCTTTCAAATCGAGTACTGAGCCAGAGTCCAAGATTGTTGAGACGTTCAGCAAGATCCGGACTGTCGTCGGGGGTAAGACTGATGGCGGTTTTCATCGCGTCAATAGCTCGGCTCAGATCCTCTATCGCTTCAGTACTTTGATATCGCTTATGAAGCATAACACCCAGGTTATTCTGCAATCTTGATGACTTGTTAAGATCTATCATTGGTATCAAGTGTTCCACAATAGCGATGGCCACATTTAAATCTTCCATGAGGTGGCTCTGTTCAAATCTCATCATCGATCTGGCTGCTTGGTTCTTGAGGAGCCTCATTCGAAGATCAATATCATTGAGCATAGCGTCACGGCTGGGCCTAGATACCATGATGTTAGAAATCTCTTGGCTTCGCATCTATGTTCTAAACGGAAAGTAGAGTATAACTCACGCCTCAGCGATCCGTCCAGCTAGTTGCTGGGAGTGGTGTAAAATCACCAAAAGCGTCACGAGAATATCGAGCCACTCATTGAGAGCCTGTTTATCCGGAGGTGAAGCGACGATCCCCCTTTTAGTCCAAAGGATAGCTTCTTCCAAAGCATTGCCTGAATTTGACATCTCGAACAAAAGGTAGCTGGCATAGATGCGAATTTTCAAGTCCTCCTCACTGTCACTGCCAGATGAGTTTCCCTTTCCCGTGAAAGCACGCAACTCAGCCTCGCTCATTCCATGAAGTGAGGCAGCTGATTCTGGACTCAATTTGAGGCATTCCATTGTGACTCAAATTATCGTAGGGTGATAAAATTGCTAAATTCGAGATAGGTTTCTGCAGTCTCTGCAAGGTTTGCATTGATTGCGATGATATTGAAACAGAGGGGAGCCAAGAGCCTCTCGGGCATCAATAATGCCTTGCCGCCTACTCCCGGCTTGTCTTTACGAATCAGCATCGCTCTTGATACGCCACCAAGGTCAAGAGACAAAGCGTGGGGGAAGCAAGTGTACCAGAGCTCCAGAGGATGAGGCGTCCACGCGACAACCATCGGCATTTATCTTTATGATGCGAAGCCCTGTACAGATCTCCAAATATCGTTTCCAAACTATCCTTAATTACCATAAGGATTCTTATCCTTTTAAGCAATTCAGAAGAAGCTGAACTCATGCAGCGCTTGTAGAGGCACTGCATTTTAGTGGGCCCTCGCCCGTGGCTGTGCAGTAAATGCACTGTCAGCATTATCTTTCATGACTCTTCGGTACGCACCAACTTGACAATTTAACATACGAACTACATTGATCCAAAGAAAACTAATGAATCATGAGAGATCAGGAATACTTACAGAGATTTTTTCCAACAGAGATATGGCTTCATATCATCCAGCAATGCACGGTGTCGCTTTCTCTCGCCGAAATGCTGAAATTATGCCGCGTCAGCAAAGCCTTCAAACTCGTGACAATGGAGGCCATCCTCGAGTCCAACATGCTGGATGATGTGGGATACTGGGATCCTGTGCGGAAACAAACCATTTTCTACCACACGGTAGATTATGATCACCGTTCATCGTATCCACCTCTTCTAGAGAATGTATCCGACGACGATGACACCAACTCTGAGCCCGAGACCCCAGATCTGGACAGACCGTTGCCTCCACCGCCTCCAGAAGTCAATCAAGAGCCATCCGAGGATGATACTCTCTCTGAGAAAGAGCTATTCCCTTCCAACGCATCAGTAGTCCCTAGCGACGATTTCTGGGTCGTGTACTTAACAACCAGGACATTGGGCAGAATCAGGTCGAAACCGCCAACTCGAGACCATGTTCTGCTGTTAAAAGTTGCAGAATATATCTACCAATACATGCAACGAACATCTTCGCAGATAGAGTTAGAAGATATGGTGCGGGTGGTTTGTGAAGTAGCGGTCAAGCACGGATACATCTACTCTCATCCCGATTTCTACATCAAGAATGAATCACCGGAATTCGATGCGACAGCGCTTCATCTGGATGAGTCTTGTGGAGTTTTTCGAGACGCTCTAGCGGCAATGGCTGTCTATTTGAACCATATTTCTCTTCTCGAAGATACCCTCTCCAATGAGGATTTGATCCTTTGTCCCTTCCACCAAAAGCCACTATCGACGACAGATAGCCAACTTATAGCATTGCTATCGTTCCAGACACCTATTCCTCAGGCTGGCCGCCTAATAGACGATGAAGGTGGCTTCAGGCCGCCGAAATGTGGAAAGTCTCTTATTAGACTTGCAAACCCAGTTAAACTTGCTGTCAAGTTGGACAAGATGGAATGCATCACCCTCTTATTGAAGAGTGTTTCTAACGGACAACGCGAACTTGATCTGTATAGGAAGGACATAGTCACTGAAGTCGCTCTCCCGGAGCAGATTGACCTTTTGCGCGTTGCAATTGAGTCGGGTCGGCCTCTCACGAGATACCGATTTCTCGCACCGTCAATTGCGGATACTATCTGGATGAACGGACGAACTGACCTTTTTACAAGATCGCTTGCTGGTATCAATTTGAGCAAATTGCTAGAGACAACAACCAATCCTGAGGTTTTCAATCTGGCGTACGATGCTATATTGGATGGTTATAGTGAGGATGAAGGCGTTTGGTGGACCAAGGGTTTCTCCTCCGGGGCAGACACTCTCGCATCTTGGGGCTTGAGAAGGCTTCAACGCGCTGTATTGGACGACTGTCTGCCCATCGTTCGAAGACTCATAGAACTGGGTTATGCATTAGGTCCGACACGAAGCATTGAGGATTTGAAGGATGAGGAGCCCACTGTTGTTGCCGACATAATTAATGGCGAAAGGACGGTAGATATAGCTCTGCCTATCGCGGTCAAAAGAGGGAATCTTGAGATGGTGGAACTTTTATTCATGGCTGGCGCGAATAGGAAGCGCAAAAATGTTCGGAAAGCGATGAGAATTGCTGTGGAACAGGGTAACCTTGAGATGCTTGAGGTTTTGGCAAGTCAAGGATCTCCGGCGGGACTATTGAACCGAAAGGCAAAACAGCGTTGGAAGCGAGAGATGGAAGAGGCAGGCAGGCAGAATATGCTGAAATGGCTAGAAATGATGTGAAAAGGACGTTGACTACAGACTAATCCTTCAATCCTTCAACTCAGTTCCTACGAATTTGACTCTGCCTTATCGGCTGATTCTTCTCTTACCCCTCTTATCCACCGCCAAATTCAGCCTGTAATAGGCCCTCAAGGTTACACGTGACGTGTTGGTCCATGTCTCGTATCACTGCTCACTCATTCTTTATTCTCAATCTGCCAAGAAACCTCATTTTACCTGAATTGAAGACAAAGAGAGCAGACACATTTGCATCGAAATGACAAGTGCAGCAGAAGTCAAAGATCCTGAGGCTTTTCTCAAAGACCCTCGCTTCTCCCAAACCTTCCAGCTTCCAACGGATCCATCGGATGATCACGGCAGTCTCCAGGTAAAATACTCCGACTACGGCTATCACAACGCCGCTGATGAGAATGTACTACTTTTCTTTGCGCCGTTATGTGCATCGAGAATTTTCCACTGTGCGAAAGATGAGTTAGCCAAGAAGTACCGTGTTCGCATCGTTGTTATGGATCGGCCGGGTTTTGGTGGGACGGATCCTGTCAAGTTGGAGAAGAGACCTGCCATGTGTCGAAGTAAGTCACCACTCACCGGGACGAAACCAACAGATAACTAATATTCTCAGAAATGACTCTGGCTCTTCTTAAACACCTTGGAATCAAGCACGTATCTCTTGCTTGTCACAGCGGAGGAACCGTCTACGCTTTTGACATGCTCGTTCATCATCCCGAAATTCTCAGCCCAGAAAGGCCCTATCTCGCCATCGGAGCTCCCTGGATCCTTCCATCTCACTCACATCTTCTGTCGATGTCTGTAACCCAATCATTGCCCGCTAGCATGCTAGCCCAAGCAGACAAGTTCATCGGCTTCGTCAACGGCACCCTTGGTCCAGTTGTCGCGACATCTGCTGGTATGAGCCAAATGTTTGGATTATCCAAAAAGAAGAATGTAGAAGGTGGCGCTGAGGAGACCAAGGCCGATGCCCTTTTTGAAGAATCCTTGGAACCATTCTTGTTCAAACTTGTGCACGCAGAGAGTATTCGCGGATTCGGCGATGAGTCGGTTTTCTTAATGCAGAAGACAGAGGGAGTACCAGGATGGGGCGACTGGCTTGACTATGATGACTTGGTGCCGAAGTTGGTACAAGCGCTCAAGGGAGCTGGCAAGAGGTTGACCGTGAATATCTACTACGCTGAGGAGGATTCTATGATTGGAGCACCGGGAACTGATGGACCGAAATGGCTGGACAGCTGTTTCAAAGGAGAAGAGGTTCAGCAGGTCATTACCTACAACACCAAGACCATCGAGGCAGCGGACCATGACACGATTTGGAGTATACGTCGGGGTGTTCCCGTCGATGTCTTCAAGAAATTGGCTGGATGATCTGCAAATTATCTTTCTCTATGAGTATTTTGGTACAGATAGACCGTCTTCTCAATCCATCTACCTTACAACTTCGCCGCAATGTTAACATGCACAGCCTTGATATTCGAATATGCTGCAAGACCAGCCTCTCCCAACTCCCTTCCAATACCACTCTGCTTGACCCCACCGAATGGAATCCTCCAGTCGCTATCATTACTCGAGTTAATCCAAACCATACCAGCTTCAATCCTCTTCGCTACCTGATGCGCCCTCGTCAAGTTAGTAGTAAACAGGGCACTACCAAGACCATACTGAGTATCGTTGGCTAAGTTGATAGCTTCTTCTTCAGAGCTAAACTTGCTTACCACCACAAATGGTCCGAAAACCTCTTCCTGGAAAACTCGCATCTTGGGAGAAACGCCTGTGAAGACTGTAGGTTCGATGAAGTAGCCCTTTCCATCACCGACCTTCTTGAATGGCTGGCCGCCGAGCTCAAGTTTGGCACCTTCTTTCTTACCAACTTCGACGAAAGAGAGAATGCGGTCGTATTGAGCCTTTGTAACTTGAGGACCTTGGAAGGTCTTCTCGTCAAAGGGATCACCAACCTTGGAGATGTTCTTGACTTGAGCTCGGAAAGCAGCGAGAAACTTATCGTAGATGCCCTCTTGAACGAGAATACGACTTGTTGCAGTGCAGATCTGACCCTGATTTGACATGATACCAGCATGGGCCCAATAAGCAGCCAAATCAACATCAGCATCATTGAAGACGATAAGAGGACTCTTGCCGCCAGTCTCTAAAGTGATGTTCTTGAGGTTACTGCTAGCCATCTTCATGATGGTCTTGGCTGTTGGGGTCGAGCCAGTGAATGCAATCTTATCGACGTCCATGTGAGAAGCGAGGGCTGCACCGGCGACGGTTCCGAGACCGTTGACGATGTTGACGACACCGGGGGGGAAGCCGGCCTTGACGACGAGGTTGGCGAAGTAGAGGATTGAGAGGGGTGTTTGCTCAGCGGGCTTTAGGACTACGGCATTACCGCAGGCGAGGGCAGGGCCGAGCTTCCAAGCTGCCATAGCAAGGGGATAGTTCCATCTATCAAAGTTGTTAGTCAAGAGGGCCTCTAAACTACTCGTTTTGAGGTGCACTTACGGAATAATCTGTCCGCAAACACCAATAGGCTCACGGATAGTATATCCAAACTTATCACCAGTGGTCTCAATAACCTGTCCAAAGACCTTGTCCGCAAAGCCAGCATAGTATCTTAACGTCTCAGCCACCTCAGTCATGTCCTCATTGAACGAAACAGAGTAAGGCTTTCCGTTATCCCATGTTTCGATCGTAGCGAGAATGTCTCGGTTCTCTTCGACGAGCTCGGCAAGTCGGTTCATAAGCTTGCCGCGCTCTGTAGCTGGCAGGTCTCGCCATGCGGGATTGCGAAGGGCGCGACGAGCGGCGCGAACAGCTTTGTCGACATCTTCGGACGATGCGGCGTAGACGGAGGTGATTTCCTGCTCATTCCTTTGATTGTGAGTGATGTTTCTTTTGGCGGCAAGGCCTTGGTCTTACGTTGGGTTTATTGAAGTGATTTTGCTGCCGTTTGAGGATGGAACAAATTCGTTGTTGATGAACAGCCCAGTAGGCTGCTTGTAAGTTCGCCCATTGGGCGCAGTAAGTTGAACGTCTAGACTCATTGTGGATGTATGATGATTCGATTCTACAGAAGATATCTGGGGAAATCAGCTGAGGAAAAGCTATCCTTGTATACCTATAGTCATTCACAGCGTCCCTCGATATCACTTTCGTATAACAGCGGAAGCTATCAACGTGGGGTTCCGATTCCCCAGACCAAAGGTTGAAAAATATTGCCCATTCTCGGTATAGTGTCCTCCGGGCCGGTGTGGATATCCGGGCGGGATACCCTGGATCGATAAGGAGATGTTTCTCGCTTCCGTATCGGGCAGTCGTTTTGCAAGCGATTTAAGCAGAATCGGGGTAAGAAAATGCATTCGGCTACTGGAGTTGCAAGCGGTTGATCATTTGCCGTGCCATGGGACCCTTGATGCATGATCCAGGGGTGATATGACTGTCATGTCGTATGATTTGCTCTCAAAAATGCAAATATGCTTCCTAAATCAACGTTTCCTGTCACTAGAGATCGACTATACCGATTATGGTAGTAAGATAGGCCAAAGATACAGTGTAATTAAATAGAACGGGTTTTCCCATGCGCAAGTGCCATCTTCATTGATTCTAAACTTCAACTACAACTACACGTATCTGCTACATCTTCACACCAAGTCTCGCTATGCCGGTCCTCCCAACCAATCAGGAAACACTAGGCCCTGCGGTCTGAGAAGCTCGACGAGCTTCCGTATCCGTCTTGGTTCGGACATCGACATCAACATAGTTAGCCCTCTCCGCGCGCTGCGCATAGATGATGTTTCCCTGCGCCTCCTCGGTCTCCAGATAAGTGATACGTCCCTTGACGATCCAGAACACCAGCGTGATGACAAGCATGATGCCGAAAACAGCAATGGCGTAGTTCATGTCTGCGACCGCGGGGTTCGGTGCGCTCGGGAAGAAGAAGAAAACGGTGGTGATGGCACAGTAAACGACGCCGACCCAGTTGATGACTGAGCCGAATCGTCCAAGAGAGAACTCGCCTGGTGGGAGCTTATCTCGGCCGACGAGAAGGAGCGTCAGAATGGGCATGCCGTAGGATACTGTGAGCGCGATTGTGCTAACGCTTAGAATAGCTTCCAAGACTGTTGAGGCGAAAGTGTAGAGGACTCCGATGAGAGCCATGACACCGCCCTGAAGCCAGAGTGCGCGAACAGGAACCTTCCAGAAATCGTCGACCTTCGCAAAGTAGCCGCTCCAAGGAAGACCACCGTCTCGAGCGAAACCCCAAGTCAAACGCGAAGCGGTCGTAACGATTCCAATACCCTGTCCGATACCGTTCACAATGAACAATGTCAGAAGGACAGTTCCGCCCTGAAGACCGACAGTCTGCTTGAGAAGATCCATAAAAGCAAGACCGGTCGTAGGATCAGTGACGATGTTCATGTCCACGATGCAGAAGAGACAAACGACCATGAAGATGAAACCGGTGATGGCACCGATGACGACCGAGAGCCAGATAACGCGGGGGATGTTCTTTCGTGGTGAGGGAATTTCTTCGACCAAGTGAATAGCAGCGTCGAAGGCCGTAAGACCGTAGGCGGCTTGGACAAGGCCGATGAACCAGGTAACACCATCGGGCCAACCAGTCTGGTTGATCCACTGTCCGAAGACGAAGCTGGCAGGCTGATAATGGAGGTTGTCCTTGGTGCCGACGGAGATGAGCATGGCCAAGCTGATGATGAAGAAAAGACTGGCGAAGGAGACACCAACGAAGTTGTTGAACCATGGAAGAACGATATCCTTTCGACAAGCCACGACGTTGAATAGAGTCATAGCTGCAGTGACGCCGACGTAGACGAGGAATAGAACCCATCCCTTATCCGCACCAGCCCAGTCTGGCTGGAATAGAACCTTCATCTTGAGCATAAACTCAGACATGAAAGCAATCTGCGACGCCGACAAAGTGATCCAACCAGTCATGTTAATCCACGCGCAAAGATACGAGCAGAACCGTCCAGCCTTTGTCGGCCACAATCGCGAGATCCAGTACGCCTGACCGAGCGCAGTAGGCATACTACTACACATCTCACCCAGCGACACGGCAACGCAGACATTACAGACAAACACGAGAACCAGGCCCCAGAGGATAGCGATTGGGCCTCCGCTGGTCAAGCCGCTGTCTATGCCCTGCGCGAACGTAGACCACGTACCCAGGACAGAGAAGGCCAGGGCAAACATGCTCCACATGCTGAATTTTCGCGTGAGACTCTGGTCATGGCCAAAGTTTGCGAGATCTTCTGCATCGCGGATGGCTTGGCTGGTGGTATCTGTGCGCTTGAGCGCAGAGTTTGTCTCGACGTCGTTGGTCATGGCCGCGTCTGACGATGACCTCGTCGAGAAAGAATATATGACGTAAAAGGAGAAGAGGGGAGAGAAAAAAGGCGACGGGCAGCCCTGGCGGGAAATGAAGCGAGAATGTGACTCAGAAAGATTGCGATGTGTTGTATGAAATGGGAAGTAAAAAAGCAAATGCGCGCGGCGAGCTTATATCCAAATTTGCTACGGGGAACGGACCAGCGTGTTTTTGGTAAGGAGACTTTTTTACATTAGGTACGATGGCCACACAGAATTGAAATTGGTAGGTGCTTGGTATCAAGTATCGTGTGACAAGTCGCTCTACGGGCATGATAGTACTGTATGGAGTACAGAGATTGGTGGTGGTAGCTGATTGTAGGGATGCTTCAGCACTGAACGAAAAACCTGGCACAGGCCAAAAAAGCGCGCATTGGGGTTAGTAGCACAGAGATAAGGTTCTTTTTTGGGGGGGCACTGTTATCTCCAGCCCCGGTCATACTGCCCTACTAACGCTCTTCAGCGACGGCGGCGTCTGCCCCTAGGTACTGTAAGCCCAGTGATGCAAACAGGCGCACGCCGTCGACATTCTGACAGGACAACCCGGGCCAAGATGGAAGTTAGCGATCATTCCAATGGCGGTTTGCGGGGAAACGCGATGGTACCCCATGGGGAACAGCGATGCATCGCATCAGGAGAGAGGGCGACGAGATTTCCATTACGTGATGAATTCCAGTGTCTTGTGCAACCACTTCCCCGTGGGGAATAACGCGTTGCTTTTTCGACCGGGCCGGTAACAGCTTTGGAAAAACGTAATCAAGGGGGATGAAGAAGGGATCACCTGTTCGGTTATCTCGGGGGGAGGGGAGACGACATTCTTATCGGCCGCTGGGCAAAACTGCAAAACGTTACCTGTAAACGGCTTAGCGTGGAGCATGGGTGCAAAGCTGAGAATCAGATGCTGGAAGCGGTTAGAAGTGTAGATGAGGGGGAAGATTGATCGCTGGGTCAGATGATTGAGCCTCGTGTTTCGATCTCCAACCGTTTATGCTAGATAGCAGTCAGATACGGTAATTTGTGGACCTGTAGAAACGTTCACTGTTATGCCCGTTTTGAGAGAGACAAAGACATCAGGGAGTTTGGGCGCGTCGAACTGCCGGAGATGGCTTGGCACGACAAAGAGTGATATTCCCCAGGATCAGAGAATGCAATTCTGTAGCAGTTTTCGGTAGAGCTACCCTTGTCGAAATCTAGATCTCGCTTGTGTGTTCCCACTCCAACTGTAGTCAGCTTCTTTTGCTTCTGTAATGTCTTACAGTCTCAGCGGATTCCCGCTCAGTGGAGATGCAGCGGAGCGGTGTCTGTCAGGACAATCGGAGCGGGCGCCACACGGTGGATGCCATGCCGTGTGTCTTCTCATCCGCCTTGCTTTTTTTACTTTTCTTGTTCTTTCTCTATAAGAAGCTCTGTATCCTCTTGACAATATCTTCTTTTTTCTCTCTCTTTATAGTAAACTACCAACTAAGCTACAGTTATTCTTCAACTTTGTCCCCTCCAGGTCTAACACCTTGGACACTTATACAGTTACTTGATCATCCACCGTATGGCACAGTCGCTCAGCCCAGACAACGTTCATCATGATTGCAGACACCTCATCCATCGCCGGCTACACCATCTTTCGGGAAGAGCCCAACGACGCCGCTCCCGACCTCTCAAATTCTCAACATTTACATCCTCTCGGTATGTTTACCCTCCCTCTCAATTGAACCCCCAATTGAACCCGCCCCCTAACAATTACAGATCCGCTATCGATTGATGAGATTCGCGCTGCCGCAAAGATCATCCGTGATTATGCCAAGCCCAAGTCTCTCAAGTTCAACTGTCTCACTCTCCGTGAGCCCCTAAAGGCAGAATATGCTGCTTTCCGCGCCCGAACTGGTCCCCGACCTTCTCGTCGCGCTTTCGCCATCGTCATCGAAAAGGGCAATGGTCAAGTCTCCGAGGTTGTCGCCAACATCGCCGACGGCAAGGTCGAGATTTGGAAGGACGTCTCTGAAGTCGGTCCTACTCTGACCCTCGAGGATCTTGACGTCTGCGAGCGCGTTGCTCGCGCCGACCCTCGTGTCATCCAGGCCTGCAAGGACCTTGGCATCGACGATATGTCCAAGATCTACATCGATGCTTGGGCAATTGGTGTTGATCAGCGTTGGGGCTATGAGCGCCGTCTCCAGCAGGGTCTGGTGTATTATCGCGCTTCGCCCAACGACAACCAGTATGCGCACCCGCTGGATTTCTCCGTCGTGGTCGATACTGAGAAGGAGGAAGTCCTCACTGTTGATATCCGCTACGTCAACGGTGAGCGAACAAAGATTCCTCTCACCTCGCACAACTACATGCCCGAGTTTATTGGCGAGAACTACATTGATGGCACTCTGAAGCCCATCAACATCACCCAGCCCCAGGGCGTTTCTTTCCGCATGCGAGGAAATGAGATTTCTTGGGCCGGCTACAAGATGCACATTGGATTTAACTACCGTGAAGGTATTGTTCTGTCTGATGTTCGAATGGAGGATCAGCATGAGCACCGCGAGCGCACTCTCTTCAACCGTATCAGTGTCGTCGAGATGGTCGTTCCCTACGGTAACCCCGACCCTCCTCACCACAAGAAGCACGCTTTCGACGTCGGTGAGTATGGCACCGGTCTCATGACCAACTCTCTGAAGCTCGGATGTGATTGCAAGGGCGCCATCCACTACCTCGATGCCGTCATGGCTACTGGCGAGGGTGATCCCGCTATCATCAAGAACGCCATCTGCATTCACGAGGAAGAC